AATCTGTTTTCGCTATGAGAATTTTGCCTATATGATTGTTTGAAATAAAATAATAACAACAACAACAACAACAACAATAATAATAATAATAATAACAACAACAACTATAATAATAATAACAACAATAATAACAACAACAATAACAACAATAATAATACAACAACAATAATATTAATAATGACAATAGTAATAATAGTAATGTGAACTCTCCTATCTTCTAACTCCAAGACCATGTAGAATCCAAACAATTGAAAGGACACTGGAGTGATAAATACAATTAAAAGTTGAAATAAATTTAAAAAAATATAAATTTCACTCAATTTTTACGTCATAGTTTATTTATCATAGTAAACTTTCTTAATATACAAAAAAAAAAAAATTCATCAAACACACACGCGCACGCACACACACACACACACGCACACGCACACGCACACACACACACACGCACTCATACACACACATACACACAAAGTAGATGGCTTATATGACATTGCTTAACAGTATATGCTTTTGTTTATATATTTATTTATTTAAAGGACTTGAAGAGCAGAAGTTATGGCTAACTTGTAAGTACATAAAACAATACACATATATTTACGGTGAATACATAATAATAATAATTATTATTATTATAACTATAAAATAATATTAATTGTATGAAATTGTTATTCTATAGTTGATGGATAGACCAAAGGAGGGAATGGATGAATGGACGATGGATGAAAGTTTCCAACACGAAAGTGGGTTGGATATATTTTTAATTTTTCAGTAATAATAATAATAATAATAATAATAATAAAACAATAATAATAATATTAAGTCGACAATCTTAATCTACCTGGATTTGTATTCGAGCAGTTTAAATACGGGTAGGTATATTGATTGGACGATAAAAAGTCTTTAACGACGATGGCGGTGATGATAGTGATGTTGTCGATGATAATGATGATGATGATGGTGGTGATGATGATGATGACGGTGATGGTGATGATCTTTTCAGAAGCAAGTGGTACGTGACCGAATAATCAAATTCATTTCAACTCTATTCTGTACATCCATATCGTCATCGTCATACGCATCATCACCATCATCATACTCATCATCATCATCATCATAACCATCTTCGTCGTCATCGTCCTCTTCATCTTTAGGTGGCATCAATTTTGTTATGCCGACGATCGTTAATAAATTAACTTGCATACACTTACACACATTTACACCACATACAAACTGACTCACATACACACACACACACACAAACACACACACAACACAACACAGCACACACGCGCATATATACAATTACAAAAATAACAGAAATCTAATTGACAGCTATTAGACCGCAGAGAACCGATACCAATAAAATACTAAAAAAACACATAAAAATACAAGAAAAATACAAAAAATGCAAAGAATACACAAAAATTACAAAAAATACAAACCAATATACTAATATGCCGCAAAATATATATACCCAGAGATTATACCCCAGCCTAACGCACATTTAATATACTACACATGTATCATACTCACATACAAGCATACATACACTCACATGCACACACACACACACAGACAAACACACACACAGACAAGCACACACACACAAACACATACATACACACATATTGTTATATACATTTATATACGTTGCTCTACATTGTATGTGTTTGTATTTGTGATGAATTTTAACAATAAACTACCGACTGCTTTATACCTACGCCAGGAATCCAAAAATTTCCATTGTACATACGCATATACACACACACATCCAAACACATGCAAGCAAAAACACACACACACACACACATACAAATATAGCCACATACACACACATACAAATATAGCCACATACACACACATCCACACACATACCAGTACAAACAAACACACACATACAAATATAGCCACATACACACACATCCACACACATACAAGCACAAACAAACACACACACACACAAACACACACACACATACAAATATAGCCACATACACACACATAAAAAAACACACATGTGTGCATTTTTGTTTGTGTAATTCAATTTTCTTCCCCTCGCAATAGTTGCACTGCAAGAAGTGTATTTTGAAAGAGCCCTCCCATTTTCCTACAACTGCACTCTAAGTCTGCTATTAATGTTTTTCGATGGAGTTGTAAAATATACATTAGTAGTATTAAAAATACTACTACTACTACTTCTACTACTACTACTACCACTACTACTACCACTACTACTACTTCTATTGCTACTACTGCTGTTGCTAGTACAGCCGAGACTTCTACCACTACTGCTGCCACTACTATTACTACTTGCTGAGGTGTGTGGCTGTAGAAACTTACTGGAAGTCAGTAGGTACCATGGCACAATGTTGGTTTTAATGGTAATGGTAATATTATTATTACCCCTTATTTTATGGTATTGGTATGCCCAAATAACTTCAGATTAGGATCACTTTTTAAGAGGAAACAAAATTGTTACCAAAAAATAAATTTAAGATTTTCCTTCCGGCTTGAAATTATGATTTCGGATGATTTATATCTGAAAAAAGGAAAAAAATTATTATTTTTTTTTTAAAGAAATAACCGTTTCTATATATATCTTTATTTTCCTACGTTATAACCGTTGTTGTAGCTATCATCATCATCGTCTTCATCATCATCATCATCTTGATAATGATCACCTTAGCTATCGCTATCATCATCATCACAATCACCATCATCATCATCATCACCACCTCATCGATTTTCTACGCGCGCTGTTATAATCCGTTCATTGCGGGTTTTACGCTTAACGGGTGCGTAACATGGCCGATGCAGCGATCCTGGTAATGATCCTTGGTGGTGATGATGACAATGATGATCCTGGTGATGATCCTGGTGATGATCCTGGTGATGATCCTGGTAACGATGATGACGATGATGGTGGTGATGACGATGATCCTGGTGATGATGATGATGATGAAGAAAAAATATCAAAGATGACAAATGAACAATCCCGTGCAGACGAGTTTTTCAATAAATCAGAGCATTAACTAAGACGAATAATTATTAATATTTAATAGGAGTCCGCCTCTCTCGTCATTATTTCGAAACGAAATCGAAATTATGTCTGGAATTCAATCGAGACGAAACGAGATACAAATATATAATTGTGTAAATATTTAATCAGGTCTTGCAGTCCCAAATCTTTACAAGCATGTAATGGGTACAAATAATTTAATGAAATTATTTAAAAAAATAAATGAACGAACTAAATGAATAAAAGAACTCAAACATCATCATAACGTAAGACGTCTTTAGCTCATTGACAGAACGTATGATGGATGGATCTAGATGCCTTGTACATATTGACGAATAAATTTGTCATTTTATTTCTTTCACTAATTTCACCACTAATATTAATACTACTACTACCACTACTGCTGCTACTACTACTATTATTACTACTGCTGCTACTACTACTACTACTACTACTACAACTACTACTATTACTGTTGCTACAACTGCCACTACTACTACTTCTACTGCTGCATCATGCGATTGCTGATGATCGCTAGAACGTGACAAGAAACAGAACGATGATGTCCGAGAGAGATCACCATCAGCGTTGTCGTCATACTTTTGTCATTATTATTTTAGAGTTGAAATAGCAAAGAAATAAATACAAAAGCAAGCAAACGAACAATAAGAAATATGTACGTACGGCGCTACAAAAAGCAGAAAGCAGAAGTGACGAAATTAAAACGTGATTGCGTGTCATGCGCAAATGAACCGCATATCCAAGTATAAAATAGAGCCGGAAAAAATGGATGAATGAATGAATGAATGGATGAATGAATGAATGAATGAGTGAGTGATTGGATGAATAAATGGATGAATAAATGATGGATAGATGAGTGGTATATAGGAGAAATATAAAATGAACTAAATCAACAACAACACAAACGAATACGTATATAAAACCACAAACACACACATTCATCCCACACATAAAACCACACACACACACACACACACACACACACACACACACACACATACAATCACACACATACAATTACACACACATACACACACACACACAGTCACACACAAACTGACAAACAAACAAACAAACACGTACCTAGCATCGTCTCAGAGACATGATCAATAATATATATGGCATTCTCTTTCGATCAAATATTTTTACTTATGTACAGATGAAATTTTTTACCAAAATCAAGTAATAATGTAGTAATAGAATGTAATAATGTAATAGAAGTAGTAGTAGTAGTAGTAGTAGTAGTGGCAGTATTAGTAGTAGTAGTAGAAGTAGTAGTCGTAGTAGTAGTAGTAGTAGTAGTAGTAGTAAAAGTAGTAGTAGTAAACAATATTTTTTTACAAATCAAAAGCCAGACAACAACGAAACGACGACGACGATGATGATGATGATGATGAACGACGGCAATCACAATCATCACCGCCACCACTACCACCACAACTACAACAATAATAATAATAACAACAAAAATAACAATAACTACTACTACTACTATAACCTTGCTAAAGTCAACAACAACACCTACAACAACACCAACAACAACATCAACAAAATCGTCATCGACAATGACGTCAGCAGCAGCAGCCACAGAAGCTACTACAACTACCTCACAACAGTAGGAACAGCAACCACATCGACGACAACGTTTAGCGACATAATCAACAACAACGACGACAACAACAACACAACGGCAATAAATGACGCCATTAACAACTCAACAACAACAACAACATCTGTGACGGTTGATGCGACAATTATGGCGTTCCTATGGAATACAGGTTGGCGAAAATTTCATTGAAATTTCTTCAAAAATTTCCTCTTACCTCCTCACTTTTTCTCATATTTTAATTGAAACCTAATTTAGTTTTTTATGCACATTTTTGTTTAATGACGTCATTATTTGTCGTCGTTATCATCATCATCGTCGTCGTCATCATCGTCATCATCATCACAATCATCATCAGGATTCATCGGCTTATTAGGAGCTGGCCTCAGTTTGCTAACGATAGCCGGGAATTCCATAGTCATACTCAGTTTCATTTTGGAGCGTTCAATCCGCCAGCCCTCAAACTACTTCATAGCTTCGTTGGCGGTCAGCGATTTGTTGATCGGTCTGGTCTCGATGCCCTTGTACACGGCCTACATCCTCACGGCCAAGAAGTGGTCTCTAGGCGAATTCTTCTGCGATCTTTGGCTCTCGGTAGACTACACGGCCTGCCTCTGCTCCATATACACGGTATTCTGCATCACTGTCGATCGATTCTGCTCCATTTCCATACCGACCAAGTACCGGGCCTGGAGAACTGAGAGGAAGGTTTGTGTGTGTTCGTTTATGTGTGGATGATATATGTGTGTGGGTGTGTGTGTGTGTGCGTGTGTGTTTATGTTCATTGCTGCTTTATTGTGATAATCATTGTTAACATCGTCGTCATCATTATCAGCATCACCAAGAGCAACATCGTCGTGGTCGTCGTCGTCATCTCCATTAGTAAATTTGTGCATATTAGCCCACGGTCACAATGAATTAGAACAACCTTATATGTAGGTGCACGGCTGACTTGTTCTTATTTAAGGCACTCTATGTATGTGTGTATGGTTGTATGTTTGTATGTTGGTGTGTTTGTATGTTTGTGTGTTTGTATGTGTGTTCGTTTGTATGTCTGCTTGCCTGTTTTGTATATTTTTCTTCTTATTTGATATTCATTGTGTTGCATTAGATCGCATATTTATCTTTTGTATTTTTTAAAATGTTCGTTTTGTATATTTTTGTTTGTTTTGTATTTCTTCTATAATATTTTTTTCAAAACTCTATGTATGTTTAGTAAAAACACGCTTTGTATATTTACCGTTCAAACGTTTTGTATATTTTTTCTACTCCCTTTTAAAGTCAGTTTATTGTTTTTTGCAATTTTTCTAAATTTTTTATCTTTTGTATTTTGCTTGCCTTTTTTCGTTTTGTTTTGTTAGTATTTTTTTGTGAGTTTTTTTTCCATTTTGTTTCTGTTTGCGTTTAAAAATATTTTTATGTGGGTGTGTATGTAGGTGTGTACGTATGTGTGCGTGTGTTTATATGTATGTGCAAGAAACATCATGGCTATGTATGTACGTTTATGTATAAGACACGTACACACACACGCACACACACATTCATACACACGCACACACACGCACATTCACACACACATTTACACACACGCGCACATTCACACACACACATACTCGAACACGCAAAAACGAATAAGTAGAGAATAGTAGCTATCCATTTTAATCACCGTATATCTATTTTTAGCAATTGTCATGGAAAATATGAATAATTATTATTATTCGATGGACCAATGACAGCGAGGAATCTATTTGACGTACATTCTTATTGGCTGGTTTTGCCTTTAATGAATATTAATTGCTTGATTAATATTCATGGATGAACATTTTGATTGGGCAATTCTTGTTAAGAAATTAATTTTCTGAAAGGCTTGTCTGATTGGCTGTCATTAACTGATCATTTTATATTGATAAGGCGGTTAAAATTAATAGAAATCATAATTTTTTGCCGATTTTTATAATGATCATCATCACCATTATTATCACCACCACCACCATCATCATCATCAAAGCATTTAAAATGTGACTTATTGGTTCAATTGTCATTGCGATATCTTTATAATCTTTATAATAATAATAGTAGTAGTAGTAGTAGCAGCAGCAGTTATAGTAGTAGTAGTATTAATGGTGGTACAAACACATAAACAAAATTATTGCGGTACATGAGCAACAGCAGGTACAAAATCACGCAAATCCATCCATCCATCCACCCATCTATCTATCTATCCATCCATCATTCATCCATCTATTTATCCATCCACCCATCAACCCATCCATCCACCCATCCATCTATCCATCCATCCATTAATCCATCCATCCATCTATAAATCCAATTTGCTCAAACCCATCTCAACAGCGTTTCTATCATGCAAAAAATACATTTGCTTCAAAAAATGTATTATTATTTGTTGTTGTTGTTGTTATTAATTGTCACTATTGTTGTTTTGCAGTTTTCGCACCCACACACACACACATACAAACACGCATACACAAACACACACGTACACACACCCGCACACACACGCACACACACGTACACACACGTACACACACGCACACACACGCGCACACACACACACGCACAGGTAATCTTTGTGGTATTTTTCGTATGGCTGATTCCCATCTTGGTTTTTTTCACAACGATTTTTGGCTGGCAGTATATTATTGGAAAGCGAACGGTGCCAGGTGACAAATGTTTTGTTCAGTACATGGAGGATGCGTTGTTCAACTGCTTGCTCCAGGTGGGATACTTTTGGATCACCCTGGTCGCCATGGTGGGATTGTATTCCGGGATTTATAAGGTTGGCTGGTTGACTGGTTGGTTGGTTGGTTGATTGATTGGTTGGTTGGTTGATTGGTTGGTTGGCTGGTTGATTGATTGGTTGGTTGGTTGGTTGGTTGGTTGGTTGGTTGGTTGGTTGATTGGTTGGTTGGTTGGTTGGTTGGTTGATTGGTTGGTTGGTTGATTGGTTGGTTGGTTGGTTGGTTGATTGGTTGATTGGTTGGTTGATTGGTTTAGGACTGATTGATTGGTTGATTGGAAATTGATTGATTGGTTGATTGATTAATTGTAGAATTTAAAAATGCAGACATTCCTACACACACACATACACCACACACAAACTTAAATGTACATATGCAAAGAAGCTTTCACACACACACACCACACACACAAACACACACACACACACATCACACACACACACACACACCACACACACACACACACACACACACACACTATCGGGCACATACGCGCACACGCACACACCAAAGATACAAATACTCCTTCCTATTTCGTGACCATGCTGTTTGTAATTAAGACTCATCTATACACAGACCAATCTAGGATTGACTTTTCTTTGCCATATCTATGGTTGCCTATTATCGTCCGTCGTAAAAGACTTTTTTTTCTTCGGTTTCTCTATTTTTTTTATCTTTGGTGTCAAGTCTGTTATGTGTGTACGTGTGTATGTGTGTGGATGCATATGTGTGAATGTCTGGATGTATGTACGATGTAAGATGTGTGTATGTGTGTATATGTGTGTGTGCGTGTATGTGTGTGTGCGTGTATGTGTGTTTGTATTGGTGTATATGTGCGTGCAGTGTACGTGTGAGTATTTTTTTGGCTGCGGTCTCTTGTCTTCGGCTTCCCATAGTTTATTATTCTTTGTTCGTTCGTTATGGAGCTAGTTTGTTGAGTGTGTGCGTGCGTGTGCGTGTGTGTTTGATTTCATTCTTTTGTGTTTTTGTTGAAAGAATATTATTTGTTCGTGTAAATCTTCAGATGGTTTCATGTTTATTGTATCTCTACCATGTTTTATTTATTTTGTTGTCGTTGTTGCTGTTGTTGTCTTTGTTGTCTCTGTTGATGTTGTTGATGTTGTAGTTGTGTTGTTGTTGTTGTAGACGATGTTGTTGCAGTTGTTGTTGGTGGTGGTGACGTAGATATGACGTCACGGCATTTCTATTTATATCCTCATTCTTGCTTATTCTGTCAATGAACCAGATTTAATAAGGCAGTATTCATCGGGTGCGTAATAAATAATAATAATAATAATTATTATTATTATTAATAATAATAGTAATAATAATAATAATAATAATAGTAACTATGATGAAAACGTTAACAATAGCAATAAAAAAATAACAATCCTAACAACAGCAATAACCCCAGCAACTGAGCAGATTCGATCATAAGTATTTATACAAGTGAAAGTGATCATTCCTATAATGTTACCGGGTCCTGCCACTGCATAATCTCACACGTTCCCACATTCCACAAAACTTTTTTTCTCCGTAATTTCTTCTCAGGTTGCCCTTGACCTCCACAGAAAGTCAGAAGCCAAAAAAGATCGGCAGATGTCCTCGCTGGCTTGCATGGCTGAAAAAACTGTTGGCCACTTTGGGGCGGTTATAAGTGGGATGAGTCGGAACAGAGATCTAGATAAGACGATATACGAAGTAAGATGGCTGACTATTTGGCTGTAGATTGTTACATTTTGGGTTTTATGTTTATTTTTGATTATTATGGTATGGTGTAGTGGTTTATATGAAATTAAATGCCAGAGAGTTAGTAGTTACAGTAGAAATAGAAATAATAATTATTGGGATAAATGTAGCTGGAGAAATAACATACATCCATTTGGAATCAGACTGCATGTATTTTATTTGAACCGCAGACAGCAGCTAGCAACCCTTGGATGACAGCCGTCAGTGGCACCACGATGAACAAGAATGCGAGTATCGACAAGAAACGACCCGAAGACGATAACGACGTGGCGAAAACCGGTAAAAGTATTTTCAGTCTATTCGCCGGAAATGTCGATGGCGAAATCGATTCGGATGATGACGATTCGAGTAGTTCCACTGATGGTAAAAGATGCGGTCCTGGAAAAAATGTTAACCAACAGAAATCCATCGGCTCTCTTAAAGCACCTACCGAATCTAAGAAAATTTTTTTACGAGTACCGAAAGTTGATTATAAAGATCAAGGAAAGACGCGTGGTGGATCGTCACTGCGAAAATTGAAAACCGTATCGCACCGAAGACAATCTTTTTCGGTATCCGACTCGTTAAAAAAACTGCCCATCGCTTCTCAACTCTTTGCCATACCTCCACGGCAGCCGTTTTTAAAGAGGCAAGCCGAATTCGAATTTTCGCCAAATTATCGCAGCGACCAATTAGTAGACGAACCGAGACAACACACCTCTCCGGCTGTGATATCGACATCGAGTACCGATAGGCCGAGTATTTTCAACATACCGTCGGTAATTATAACAAATACGTTTGACTCCAGATGCGAGTATATCGAGATGAGCGCACAGACCGGCGAAGGCGATAATGAAAATTATTCGAATGGAAAATTCGATGACGTTGATGATGACGTCACTGATGACGATGCCGTATTTGTTGATGTTGGTTGTGTAAGAGATGATGAGAGTTGTAGATGTGTGGTGAATAGAAATGCTGACAATCATCATAGCAATATTAATGATCGTAGTTTTGCCGGTAGTGATAGTAATGATTCTGTTGGTAATGATGGTGATACTGAAAAAGTTTCGAAAATAAATCTAGAAGAGGTTGAATGTGCCAGTCTGCTTTCGAATTTTGACAAAATTGACACAAACGAAGTAACGAAAAACCGGGAACATCAACAACAGCAGCAACAACATCAACAACAACATCATCAACAACAGCAACAACAGCAACAGCAACATCGTCAAAAATTAAAAAGACAAAAACACACTATAGACCAGACTGACGATTATAATGAAATTAAAAGTAATGAAAGCATTAAAGTGCTGATGAATGAGCCGGGAAGCTACCACAAAACAATTAAACTCAACAACACCAACAACAACATCAACGTCAACAACAACAGCAGCAGCAACAACAACAAAAACAACAAAACCAATGCTATCGATATGAATGAAAAGAATTTTTCTCACTTTGAAAATAACGTCAGCGGGGAAGAAGATGGAAAATTTTTATTTGAGAAAAAATCGTCTGCGAAAATTTTGACTGATATGTCAACAACAACATCATCAACAACAACATCATCAACAACAACATCATCAACAACAACAACATCAACATCATCAACAACAACAACAACATCAACAACAACATCACTAAAAACAACCACAACAACTGCAACAACTTCTTTGACAAACGTTTTCATAAAATTGACAACAACATTATCAACAATAACAACAACAACAACATCAACATCACCAGAAACTCTATCATCGGGTACGAAGTCAACAGCAGTTTCATTAGCACCACCACGTTCAACTTTGTTAATCACAACTTCAACAACAAAATTGAAAGCAATAACAACAATAGCAACAACTGCAACAACGTCAGCTGCAGCAGTTACAACAATGGCTGCAACATCAACAGCAACAACTACATCAACTACAGCAGCAGCAGAAGCAACCGCAATAACAACAAAAACGATCCAACCATCAAATTTTCTCACAGTGACAAACTCAGCGAGTATGACACCTACATGGATCAGACGTAAAAGCAGCTCATTCACAATCAAATTCGGAAGATCCTTTCTCAAATCTATCCAACATCATCAACAGATGCAACTACAACGACAGCAACAGCAACAACAACAGCAACAACAACAACAATTTGACAACAACTCCAACCAATCGAGCGAACAGACCTCCATCAATAACTCACAACAACAACAACAACATCAGCAACAACAACAACAACGAAGATGTAGCGATGGCCAGCAAGACCCACAGAGACGATTAAACTTCGCGGAATTCTTAAAATCCAAACGCCAATCCATCAACCCATTCCTCTCAATCCTCCCACACAAAAGATCCCAGAATCACGACGACCAACGAAAGAAATCCAACAGCAGTGATCAATCCTCAATAAACAGCAAGCAGCAGCAGCAGCAACAAAACTCGCCCCATCAGCAACATTCCCCCCAACAACCCCCCCTGCGGATAACCCCTGCCGGTTTTTGGAACTTCATAACGAGACGAAGCCTTGCAGAGGACAGCGAGCTAACCAGAAAGCGAATCCGACACCGAAAAAAAACCGAAAACCGAGCCCGAAAAGCCCTTCGTACCATCACTATAATTCTCGGTGCGTTCATCATCTGCTGGACACCCTGGCACATCCTCTCAATGACCATGGGTTTCTGCAGTGAGTGCGTGCCGTCGTACCTCTATGATATTTCATATGGACTTTGCTACCTCAACAGCCCCCTCAACCCCTTCTGCTACGCATTCGTTAACCAGCAGTTCAAGCAGGCATTTCTTAGGATTATAAAGCTGGATTGGCACAGGACGTGATGATGATGATGACGAGGATGAGGTGGTGGTGGTGATGATGATGATGATGTGGATATGATGAAGGTGATGATGATGATGTGATGTTGAAGAAGGTGATGATGATGATGTGATGTTGAAGAAGGTGATGATGATGATGTGATGTTGAAGAAGGTGATGATGATGATGTGATGTTGAAGAAGGTGACGAGGCGGCGAGGAGAACAAAATTATGATCTCGTTAATGTAAACTCGCAAATTTTCAACTTGTTACACAAAATACATCATAAGCACACATGCGAACGTAATCATACTATATCTATAGTAAACATACATACATAAACACACACAAACAATTGTACACATATACATACAAACAAACAAACAAACACACAAAATGTAAAAAATATATCCGAAAAATGTATCTCGTCAAATATTAGATGTCTGGTTGAACATTGAATTTAGTTTAGCATACGTACAAATTTATTTATACATACACGCTTACATACACACACAACATACACACACATACACACACACATACATGCCAAAATTTTCATCAACATACGTATCAATACATGTTTGTGTGTATATCGAAGTAGCTAGGTGTATATTATTTTTGTATGTATGTATGTGTGTTTGTTTGTTTGTATGTTTGTATGTATGTGTGTGCGTGCGTGTGTGGTGTGTGTATTGTAGCTGCTTACATAGTAAGAGATTGTCAATGTATTATCATGTTAATCTTTATATATTCATCATTCATGCTCGCGTACACACAGAGAATACAATTCTCATTAGGTATCATTTATAACTTGATACATACATACACACATACATACATACATACATACATACATACATACGTACGTACACACATACATACATACATACGTACATACATACATACGTACATAAATACATATATACATATATACATACATACATACATACATACATACACACACACACATACATACATACATACATACATACATACATACATACATACATACATACATACATACATACATACATACATACATACATACGTACATACATATACATATGCCAGGATAATTATTATTATTGGGCTGAAAAAATTAATTTTGTGCAGACTGAAGTGTTTTTGTTATCATCGTCATCGTCAACATCGTTATAATTGTCATCATTATCAAGATCGTCGCCATCACTATCAGCAACAACATCATCGTCGTCGTCATCATGGTCATCATGTTCAATGGAGTCTTTTTGATCACACTCGCCTATTAACGTAATGGTGAGTAAATAACTGCCATTGATGATGATGAAGAAGAAGAAGAAAAAGAAGAAAATGATGATGATAATGATGATGAAGAAGATGACGATGATGATAATGATCATCATCATCATCATGATTGAATTGAAAAAATTACCTTTACAAATGAATAAACATTTTTTTTTAACTAATATCAAACGAACCGAAAATCAAAAGATCGAAACTTAACTGGCTACGCTCATGCTTCAATTTGAATTTTTTATTCCTTCTCTTCTTCTTTCTCCTCCTTCTCATCAACATCACCAACATCATCAACAACATCATCATTATCACCATCGTCATCACCATCATCATCGTCGTCATCATAACTTCGCGGTCATCATCATTGTATGGTTTGGACCCCGTCGACAAACAACTGAAAATTCAATATAAACGTGAATCCAGAAAATTTTGCAAACTAACAATTTGTATGTTTGTGTGTGTGCGTGTGTGTGTTCGTATGTGTGTGTGTGTGTGTGTGTGTGTGCGTGTGTGTGTTCGTATGTGTGTGTGTGTGTGTGTGTGTGTGCGTGTGTTTGTTTGTTAACCATCGAAGACGCCGCTTTAACTCTTAAAATCCTTTGTTAAAATTAAAAATGAACAAAAAAAATTATTACAAATGTAAGATAAACAAATAAATAAATTGAAATATGAATTTGTAAAGTTCAGAGAAAAATTTGGTAAAAAAAATCACCATCTGACAAAACCGTTGTTAACAAAAGACATTTTTTTAGTTGTACATACAAAGACACACATACACACGCACGCACACACACACACACACACACATACAAAACATACAAACATACAACAACACACGTATGCTGTTTGTCGCCAGGCAACGTGCAATACGAACAGATGATTACAACGTCATCATCGAGGTTATCTAAGTTCGCCACATTTTTTATTTTCGTCTTTTCATTAGTTTTTTGACGACTTGGTTAAAAAAATTTAACTTGAATTAGTTTTTACCATTGTTTGCGGTCAGTTTTTGCATGCCTGTATGTTGTATATGTGTGTGCAAGTAAAGGATTTTGCTTGGGTTTTAACAGCCAAATTAAAAATTTGTAGAACAAATTAAGAATCTTAAACAAATCTAACACAAATAAAATAATTTAGTTAAATAATAAGAATATATAAATAAATAATTCATGGTAATTAATTAATATTCAATAAAATTAATTAATAAAAGTCAATGAATAAATTAAAAACTCTATTGGGAACAAAATTTCCAAAGTTATCCGGGGTGGGTGTGATAGCGGTGATTCATGCCAAAAGAGGGCGGAAAATTTTTTCCTTTATCAACTTCCGGCCAAGCGGAAGCATCACGTGATTAAACGGAAGTTGACAATGAAAAGATTGATGAGATTCTCTCAATTTTTTTTTCATTTTTGTTCGTGTTCTCCATGTTTTGATATTTTTTCAGAAAGAGAAAATTCAAACTATCGATCAATTGAGATAAATGAACCTTTCTATAAGTTATATTTTTAACCTTTTTCCGGTTTATTCAGTTGATTTATAAATATCTCTTTCTCCAACAAACACGTCACAAACTAATACGTGCACATCTTGCCTCATTTTTTTGGCGATCAGATAATGTTTGCCTAAAATATTAAAGGTATTTACGCTGTATAATTTTCAAAATTTTGAGACAGTCCCTATAAATAGCTGATTTATGTTGGCCTGCAACTTTGCAATTTTTATTGAGGATGAATTTGTCAGGAATGATTTTCCCATTTGGTTGGGTTGTTTTTATTTTATATTTGGAGAATTCTTCGACAGGTTATAGATGTTTTTAACGTTTTTTAAAAAAATCAATTTTCTTATGATATTTCAAGAGCTCAAAAAAAATTTCAAATAGTGAAAATATCTACAAATCAACATTTTTTTTTATTTAATTAAAAAAAATACATAAATAAATAGATTAGAAAATTCTACTAAACATCCACAAAGCAGAAGAATACTGCATTTCGGAAGCATTCAGACCCGAGTGCAGGCAAAATGAGATCATTTCCATAACAGCTGCTCTGTTCGGTCGCAGACATTTTGGGAGGTGCTTGTCAGAAGACGAAGAAAAACCATCGGAAGAAAATCTCAACAACCCGAAATATATAGGTTGCTACAGAGATGTGAGACAAATGATCAGTCAGCTATGTGCAGCGGAGAGAAAGTGTGAGGTCCCTATAGCCAAAATTAAAGTCCCGACCACCTGTCATTCATACTACAAAAGTTATTTGGAGGCCGCATATATTTGTTTGAAAGGTTTGTTGGGGTACTTTTGTAATTTTTGAGACGGTCCCTTAGTTTGAGTGGCATATAAAGGTGTATAGAAATTAAATTTTAAAGTTTGTGTTTGATTTCATTTTATTGGTGCTGGTTGAAATTATGAAAATGTTTTATTATATGTCGTCGTCGTTTGTGTTTTGTTTGCTCGCGAACGTACAACCAGACTATGGAGGTTAGTTAAACAAAAAAAATTTTTCATTCATACGAAATGAAATCTAAAAAATCATCTCTATCAGTTATTTATAAACATGTGTTTTATGACGACAGAAGAATTTTGTTACTCCGAATCATTTAAGCCAAGCTGCGGCCCAAACGAAATAATTGTAATAAAAGAGGCTCATTTCGGTAGAATTAACGTTGGAAGATGTCTCCAAGAAGAGGGAATACCAAGTGATGAAAATTTGAAAAATTCAAAATTCATCGGCTGTTCCACTGATGTCAAGCACATCATCGACCCAATCTGTGCCGGGAAGCAGAGCTGCAGTCTGTTTGTGGCTCTCATTAAAGTCAGCACCGAGTGTTTTCCTTATTTAAAACATTACCTGGAGGCCAGCTATCAATGCGTTAAAGGTGCATTTGAGATCATTTTCAAGTTAATTGTGTATTTTCATTTTTGAGATGGCCCTTTTGTTAATCTGTATATAAATCTTCTTCTCAATTGCTGTTGGTTAAGTTTTATTAAATTTGTGTTTGTGGTTGTGAAGCGTTTTTTTTTAATTAAAATGATTAGCGGTCCAAACGAGAAATTTTGTTCAATAGTTGTTCTAGGAGTTTATTTTACCACGGTCGTCATTACAGGTTTGCAAATTTTGCCATTTTGCCAGCACTCAAAGTATTGTTTCGAATCAATTTTCTCATCGCAGAAGAATATTGTAACTCGGAAACATTCAGACCGCAGTGTTTGAAGAATGAAGTGGTCGTCGTATCCGAAGCGGTTTTTGGTAGGAAGGTGTTTGGTAGATGTCTGAGTGAAGATGATGGAGCGCCCAGCAAGGAACAACTGAACGATCGAAAATTTGTTGGCTGCTATGTGGACGTGAAACATTTGGTTGACCCTGTGTGTGCCGGTCAACAGAAATGTGAACTTCCAATTGCTAAAATTAAAACCGCTACCAGCTGCCACTCGCACTTCATAAAATATTTGGAAGCTACTTATACATGTTTGAAGGGTTTGTTGTTGTTTTGTTATTTTTGAGACGACCCTTCTTGTTTGCTATACAAAATGTTCGAACTATGAATGAGGATGACTGAATTTTGTGATTTGTAAGAATGTTGTTCGTGTTCGTCGTGACGCTTCTTATATTTGGGAAGGAAATTTTAAGCGGTACGTTAAAACTTGCAGTTTATTTTCTATTATTAAGTTTTTCTTACTCAACAATCACTTTTCTTACTCAGAGGAATATTGTATTTCGGAAACATTCAATCCGAAGTGTTCATCCAATGAAGTAATCATCTTGCAGGAGGCTGTGTTCGGCCGAAGATTCATTGGCAGATGCCTGCAAGAAGATGAGAGTAGCTCAAACGAACTTTTGAAAAAAATTCCCGGATTTATTGGATGTTACGACGATGTTTTGCCAATTCTTCAAAGGCAATGTGCTGGTTTGAAGCAATGTTCTGTACTTGTGGCCTCTATAAAGATCAAATCGCAGTGTCCTAGCTCGTTTGTGAAGTTCCTTGAGGTGGTGCATCGTTGTGTGAAAGGTCTGGTTCTGCTGTTGTTATGTCACGTTTTTGTTTTGTTCAATTTGAGATGGTTCCTTTGAAAGGAACGCATTAGCGTTATAAAGTCGGTCTTTGATCTGCTAAATGTTTGATAAAATTATTTTGAGAAGTGTTTTAAGAAATATGAATTCGTTTTTATATTCTGCGATTTTATTTTGTATGGTTTTGAAAGGATTCCGTTCTGGTTAGTAAGATTTTTTGGATAGATTAAATTTTTTGATAAATCGAGAAAATATTTCTTAGAGGAATATTGCAACTCCGAACTGTTTCAACCTCGCTGTCGCAAGCCAGACAACGTAATCGTCATCAAAGAAGCCATCTTCGGAAGGAGAACACACGGAAAATGTCTACAAAGTGAAGGAACTCCTAGTGCCAGCAACCTAAACGATAAAAATTTCATCGGTTGCTACGCCGATGTTAGTCACATTATTGAAGCAAAGTGTGCTGGAAGAGAAGATTGCGCTGTCTGGGTGGTGCAAGCCGAAACAGAAACTCAGTGTCATAAATACCTGAAGCAGTTTTTAGAAGTTCAGTTCGAATGCGTCCAAGGTTGAGTCTTTAGTTTGGTTTGGTGAAGCATTTTTTTGTTTCTTATTTTTGATACCATCCCCGAGTTAATTGGTATTTAGTGAGAATATTCGAATATTCTGATGAGTGAAATTTTAAAAATTGAGAAATGAAGACTCTATTTGTTACCGTTGTGATTTCCACCATTTGCACGCCGTGTTTGCTGGCAGGTTAGTTCGTTTGGTGTCTGCTTCAAGATTTCGAGATTTTAAAAATAAGAAATTTTATCACCTGTACAGAAGAATACTGTAATTCAGAAATATTTCAGCCCAAATGTCAAAACAACGAAATAATAAAGATAGAAGAAGCGTGGTTTGGGAGGTTGGCCCTAGGTAGGTGTTTAAAAGAAGATGAGGACGTTCCTAGCGAAGAAAACTTTAAAGACCTCAGCTTCATAGGCTGCTCGGCTGATGTTAAAAATATTTTGAACCTGCAATGTGCCGGCGAAGTTAAATGTGAAGTATCGGTTGCGAAAATTAAAGTTAAAACAACCTGCCATCGCTACCTGAAACACTACCTCGATGTTATATACGACTGTTTGCAAGGTTAGCTATAAGTGAAGTTTTGATCTTGTCATATTTGAGAAAGTCCATCAATCATTTGTCTATATAAATTTTATTTTTTGGTAGTTTTATCGTTGTTTCTGTAAAAATGAAGTGGTTTTATTTTTTACTGAGTTTGAAATTGGCGATTTCATATATTGGAAGCTCAATTTCAGGTGAGCAATTTTGATATTGTCAGTGTTTGCGACCTAAAAATCTATTTGCTCCATTTACTTGCAAACATCAGCAGAAGAATATTGTCATTCCGAATCATTTCAACCTCATTGCTCCAGCAGCAAACAAATCATCATCGTGGAGGCATACTTCGGAAGAATGCAGGTAGGCAAGTGTCTTATAGAAGAGGACACTAACGCCAGGGAGAATCTAGATGATTCCAAATTCGTCGGTTGTTTTGTAGATGTGAGCGGGCTGATTGCACCCCTCTGTGCCGGCAAACATCAGTGTGATATTTCTGTTGCCAAGCTGAAAGTTAAGACGAGTTGTCATGGGTACCTGAAGCAACATCTTTACGTCAAACATAGGTGCATCAGTGGTGAGTTGCTGTTTGACTTTCACATTCTTGAGATGATCCCGCGATTAAATCATTTAAAATGCAATTGGAGTAAGAATTTAAAATGAGAAAATACTGCAAAAATGATTTTTCAAGTTGTTTTCATAATTTTCAGTTCAAGACTTGTTGTGTCAGGTTAGATATGTTGTTCGTGTAACGACTTTAAGATTTTATAAAAAATATCGTAAATTTCCCAGAGGAATATTGCCATTCAGAAACATTTCAACCGAATTGTCGCCACCAAAATGAAGTAATATTTATAGAGAGGGCATCATTTGGTCGGATGAATATTGGGAAATGCTTGTTAGCGGAAGGCCCCATTGACGAAACATTTGCGAAAAATCCTGGATACGTCGGTTGTTCTGTTGATGTTTCTTCCATCATCATTTCAAAATGTGCTGGCAGATCTCAGTGCGAAGTGTCTGTTGCAAAGATTGAGGCTGAAAATTCATGTCTCGCCTTCTCCAAAAGTTATTTGGAAGTTGAATACAGTTGTATTAAAGGTCTGATTTTATTTTTCAATTTTTTGAGATGGTCCACGGGGTAAAGTGTATAAAAACGACAGAGCATAAAGTTGTTTTATAAATACATTCAATTAAAGCATAACATATGTTTTTGCTGAAATTTGAAATGTTCTCCAAGTTAATTCTGTTGATAATTTTTGTTGCAAAGAGTTCTTGCGGTAGTAGAAATTGAACCTGCAATTTGATACATTTCCACGTGAAAGTATTGACTGATTCGAATATTTTTTGTAGAGGAATATTGCAATAAAGAGTCATTCAAACCAGAGTGTTCCAAGAACGATGTCGTACAGATAGTTGAGGCTTTGTACGGCAGAAAGAGAATAGGCAGATGTTTATCAGACGCTGGAGTGCCAGATGAACATTTGTTAAAGACGCCAGGTTTCGTTGGATGTTACGCAGATGTAAAGAGCATTATTGAACCTTTGTGTGCTGGAAGGATGCGATGTGAGGTGGCTGTTGCCCAAATAGACGTTGATACTCACTGCTCCAAACATTTCAGATACTACTTGGAAGCCAAACATCGCTGCTTGAAAGGTGCTTTTGTTTACTGCATTTTGAGACGACCCATTTTTATGCGCGATTTTTTGAGTAGTTAAGGCCGAAAAATGATTTGTTCATTCATTATGTATTGTTATTTATTGTGAAATGGCATTTAACATGTTTTTTGCTTACCTCGTTCTTGGCGGTGGTGTTGCTACGGTTTTCTGCGGTTAGTGCATTTCTGTTTGAAATTCTCGGAGCAGAAATATTTTTTGAACTTAATTTTCAACCCTTCATAGAAGAATACTGTATATCGAAATCATTCCAACCTCGGTGCAACACGTACGAAATAATTTTTATTGAGCATGCCTTCTTCGGAAGACAAAAAATTGGAAAGTGTCTGCTACACGAAGGTCAGCCGACTGAGTCCAACTTGGAAGATGAAAAATTTATTGGATGTTACTCAGATGTTAAACGCTTGTTAGGACCTCTCTGTAATGGAAAGCATCAGTGTGATGTTCTGGTGGCTGAAATTGAAGAAGAAACAAACTGTCACAAGTACCTCAAGCACTACTTAGAAGCTTCGTATCAATGTTTAAAAGGTTGTTTTTCAAAAATGTTGAAATGTTAAACGATTTATAAGTCTTCTGGTTTGGTTTGTGGTATAATTACTTGAGAAAACCCCTTAATATTGTTTGAAAGCAAGTGGCTGGCAAATAAATATATTAATTTAGATGTAACGGTCGCGTTATTCAGGTAGATTTTACGAGATTTTATTGAAAATGTTGTTAATTTTGAAGTTTTTGTTGACTCTAGCAAGCTACGGAGCAAGTGGTGAGTTGATGATTTTTTGAAATTTATGTTAGCACTAAGTTATAATAAAATTTAACTTTGTAGAAGAATACTGCATAACTGACTCGTTTCAACCGAGGTGTCACAAAAATGAAATCCTCGCCATAACGGAGGCTCTCTTCGGCAGGCAAAAAATTGAAAAATGTCTAAAAGACGAAAGCGGAAGCGATCTAATAAATGTGAAAGATCAAGAAGTGATCGGATGCTACAGAAACGTGAAAGACTTCATTGATTCCAAGTGCTCCGGTCAACCTCACTGTGATGTCCCAATCGTGAAAATTCAAGAAAAAACACCGTGTCACAGCTATCTGAAACATTATCTCGAAGCCTCTTACGTCTGTTTGAAAGGTTGAGCAAATTTTTTTTTTTCTCCACTTTGAGAAAATCCCTCTGTTCTTTCTTTTGAGCATCTATAAAACATGAAAACTCCGAGTATTATGTTTGTTGTATTGTTTAAAATGATTTGGAAAATTGTTTTATTGGTCGTTGTCGCCGTGAAGTTTGGCCAATTAAGTAAGTGTCTGAGAATTTGTGATTTCAAGGACAATTATATTTTGATTTCATAGTTTGTAATCATCCTTTCTTTTAAGAGGAGTATTGTAATTCGGATTCATTTCAACCAAAATGTGAAAAAAATGAAGTTATCTCAATCGAGGAGGCCTTGTTTGGTCGGCAAAAAATGTCCACATGTCTGAAAAATGAAAATGATGGCGGCTTGGACACCAACGATCGAAAATTTGTTGGTTGTTTTGTGGATATAAAATTTATGATCAGTGGATTGTGCGGTGGCAGACAGCACTGCGATGTTCCGATCGCGAGGATTAATGAAAAAACTTCTTGTTATTCCTATCTGAAGTATTATCTCGAGGCTACCTACCTCTGTCTGAAAGGTATGTTGTTGTGTAATTTGAAAAAACCCCTAGGAATATTTCATCTGTGGAAATATAAATGTGTATATAAGCCACTCCTGGCTTTGTAAATCACTTTGTGAGACATATTTAATTAATTTAAAAAAAATGAGATATATAATATATTTAACGATCATTGTAAGCTCATTGGAAAAAGGATCGTTCGGTTCGTAATTTATTTCTCAACAATCTGAAATATGATGAATTTGATTCCAAATTAAATTTTAATCTAAAAATTTTAGAAGAATATTGTTTTTCCGACTCATTTCTGGCAAAATGTGAAAGCAATGAAGTTGTGTTTATTAAGGAGGCATTGTTTGGGAGACCAAAAATCGGCGCCTGTCTGAACAGCGAGAAAGATAGCGACCTGAACATGAAGGACAGTAAGGTTGTTGGATGTTACGCAGACATTAGAGACATTATCAGTGGGAAATGCGGCGGAAAACAACAATGTGAAATTTTTGTGGCTAGAATTCAAGAGAAAACCACATGCCATAGTTATCTGAAGCATTATCTTGAAGCTTCTTATGTTTGTCTGAAAGGTTTGGAGTAAAATTTGGTTAATTTTTTTAATTTGTATTTTTCTTGAGTTGAGACGGCCCCTTTATGTTAAGTTTCCTTATATAAAAACGTATTTTGACGTTGTCATTGCATGAAGCTGTTAAAATAAATTTTGTAAAATGTTTGTTCAGATTATAATAATGATTTTGACTGCCAAATTTGGAATGTTTGGTGGGTTAGGCTCAGTTTTCTAGCATTATTTTAAGATTTGTTGACCAAGTTTTTTTCATTTTCTTCAGAGGAATATTGCAATTCAGATTCTTTTCAGCCAAAATGTTCAACCAGTGAAGTAATTTTTATAAAGCATGCATTATTCGGAAGATTAAAGTATGATAAATGTATAAAAATGAAAAGTGATAGCGACACAAATTTACAAGATCCCAAATTGATAGGATGTTATTCCGATATTACGCATTTCATCAGTGAGAAGTGTGGTGGGAAGCAGGAATGTGATGTCCCAGTCGCCAAGATTGACAAAGAAACACCCTGTAACAGTGATTTGAAACATTATTTGGAAGCTACATACGATTGTTTGAAAAGTAAATTTTATTTTCTTGCATATTTTGTCGGAACTCCATCACATCATTCTGAAATTTTGTGTACATTTAGTTATTCAAATCTGAGAAACTCCCTCAAGTTACTCTCTTAAGTTTCGAGTTATTCTTTTACCAAGGCCAGCAGAACTGCGTAGATTTGAATGTAAAAGTATTTGTATTCGTAAAAATGTTTTCAAGTTTATTAATTTTATTAGTCGCTTTTGTAGGAAAAGGAATTTCTGGTCAGTATTTCATTCTTTCGTGGTTTTGAGTTTTCACAGTCGATTGAAATAATTGAAAATTTTTGTAGAGGAATATTGTTGGTCGGAATCATTCCAGCCAAAATGTCAGAACCACAAAATTATTTTGATGAAAGAGGCTTTGTTTGGCAGATTAAAATTTGGGAGATGTCTCAAGCAGAAGGTAGATAGCGATTCTAACATCGTAAATTCTAAAGTTATTGGTTGCTACGCCGATATCACTCATTTGATTAGTTTAAAATGTGGAGGTATGCATGAATGTGATGTTCCTGTGGCTAAAATTGATGAAGAAACGCCGTGCAATAACGATTTGAAGCATTATCTGGAAGCCTCTTATGACTGCTTGAAAAGTAAATTCTGAATTTTTGTTATTTTCGATTATTATGTATGTAGGGTACATGTACACATCGACTGAATCAATTTGAGAAAGTCCCTGAATTATCAACTTTAAAAACTTAAACATATTCATAATTTTTTGTATGGTAACAATTCATGTAATCACATCTTTGATTAAAGAGTTGATTTGTATATATGTTGAAATGAAATATCAAAAAATGAATATAAAGTTAGTTTTGTTGGTAGTTGTCAGTTTGAGAGTCGGATGCGCCGGTAAGGTTTTTAATTTCGATCTTATAATTTTCCATCCAATTCAAATCCGACTTTGAAATTTTAAGAGCAGTATTGTAATTCGGATTCCTTCCAACCTAAATGTCTCAAAAATGAAGTCATTTACATCGAGCAAGCTCTCTACGGAAGACAAAAAATGGGAAAATGTTTAAATCACAGAGGCGAGAGCGGTCTAAATTTGACAGATCCCAAGGTTGTCGGTTGTTTCGTTGACATAAAAAATTTGATCGGTGAAATGTGTGGTGGGTTGCAGAGCTGTGATGTGTTGGTAGCGAAAATTGAAGAAGAATCCCCGTGTTATACGTATTTGAAACATTATCTCGAAGCTTCATACAGTTGTCTAAAAGGTTTTTATGAAATGATTTTATGAGAGTATCTTTTAAAACTTTATTTGAAGAACTTTCTAGTTTTGTTAATTTAATTTAATTATATTAAAAAAATTCAAATGATAAATTTTTGAGAAAGTCCCGTTAACTCTGCCTAGTGAACATGATTTAAAAGCATTCAGTAAGATTTGATGTAAAATATCTTGAAAATGCGGTTTATAATTATATTGTCAACAATTTTTTATTTGGAAAAAAGTTTGGCAGGTGAGATTTTCAAATCGTCTTTAACTTCTTTCACATTTTTTCTAAATTCGAGTTTGAATTTTTTCAAGAGGAATATTGTTATTCGGATTCTTTCCAGCCCAAATGTCTCAAAAACGAGGTAATTTTAATCCACAAAGCTCTCTTTGGAAGAATGAAAATGGGAAAATGTTTGAAACAGAAGAGTGAAAACGATGTAAACCTAAATGATCCTAAGGTAGTTGGTTGCTACGCCGATATCAAAGATGTGATCAGCGAGAAGTGTGGAGGACTGAACAGTTGCGATGTCTTAATTGCTAAAATTGATGAAGACACACCATGTTACAGCTCGTTAAAGCATTATCTTGAGGCGACGTACTACTGTTTGAAAGGTTAGGCGAAGATACTGATTTATGCAATTTGAGAGAACCCCTTGAACCTTCATCTGCTTATTCTTTCTTTTTGTCTTTATATAAGAGTGAATTAAGTTGTGATTGTTTGCTTGATTCGTTGAAAATGAATTTTAAAGTTTTGTTAATGTTGGCTTTTAGTTTGAAAATTGGATATGCTGGTAAGGTTTCTGATTCATATTTTTTCTCATAAACTCTAAACCTCAATTCATGATCTCTTCAAGATGAGTTTTGCAATGCGGATATATTTCAACCGAGATGTCTGAAAAACGAAGTGATCATAATTCAGGAGGCTCTGTTCGGGCGCCAGAAACTTGGAAAATGTTTGAAACACAAAATTGAAAGCGATTTAAATTTGAGTGACCCAAAAGTCATCGGCTGTTTTGTAGATATAAAAGATTTGATAAGCGAAAAATGTGACGGAAGACAAAATTGTGAAGTCGTTGTTGCCAAAATTGAAGAGAAAACTCCCTGCTACAGCTACTCGAAGCAGTATCTAGAGGCTTCTTATCATTGTTTGAAAGGTAAATGTTACACAAATTTCACCAAGAAATTTTGAGAAAATCCCTTGAATTTTGGTTTATTCATTTAGCTTTAAGACACTGTGCAAGTACGGATTGTTGGTTGAGTGTAATATTTAGAAAAAAAATGGCTTTCAAATTTATTTTGTTGTTAGTTGTTTGTTTTAAAGAAGGATTCGCTGGTATGCTTTCTTATTAAATTTGATAGATTGAAGTAATTTTATATACGAATTTTTTAATTTCTTTCAAGAGGAATATTGCATATCAGATTCCTTCCAGCCAACATGTCTGAAAAACGAAATTATCCTGATCGAGGAAGCTTTATTTGGACGACAGAAACTTGGAAAATGTTTGAAACATAAGAGTGAGAGTGAATTAAACTTGAATGACCCGAAAGTCATCGGCTGTTATGTAGATATTAAGAGTTTGATAAGTAGTAAATGTGACGGAAAACAAAAGTGCGATGTCGTAGTGGCCAAAATCGAAGAGGAAACTCCCTGTTATAGTTATTCGAAGCATTATTTGGAGGCCTCCTACCGTTGCGTTAAAGGTTATTAGATCAAATTTTGCAAAAATGTTTATTCAGAAAATTTGAGAAAATCCCCTAAGAAAAATTGTATGTTAATTTCGATGTTTTTCAAGTTGCAGTATAAAATTGTTCAGTTGGTTTGTAAATGAGAAGTTTTGAAAATGAATTTGACTGTTTTCTGGCTATTTGTGGCTGTATGTTTAAAAAGCGGGTCTTTTGGTAAGTTGTCAGGTTGAATTTGATATTTTTGTTAAAATATTTGAATGAAAATTTTTGATTTGTTAAAGAGGAGTATTGCATATCTGATGCGTTTCAACCAAAATGTCTCAAAAATGAAATTATTATAATCAAAGAGGCGTTATTCGGAAGACAGAAACTTGGAAAATGTTTGAAACAAAAAACTGAAAGCGATCTGAATCTGAAAGACCCGAAAGTAATTGGTTGCTACGCTGATATTAAATATAAAATTAGTGAAATTTGCGATGGAAAACAAAAATGTGATGTGGCAGTAGTTGGAATAGAAGAGGAAACATCGTGTTACAGCTCGTTAAAACACTACATGGAAGCTTCTTATTTTTGTCTCGCAGGTTATTATCTTTCAAAAATTTTATTCAAGAGAATTTGAGAAGTTCCCTAAGTTTTTGTATTAGACTTCTAAATTACAGTATAAATAAGACAAAGTGGTTAATCAGAAAAATAAGAAGTTATAAAATGAATTTTAAATTTGTTGTGTTGTTGATTGCAAGTTTGAAATCTGGATTTGCTGGTAAGATTCTTCGTTGAATCAAATCTCTTATTTCCATATCCAGTTAAAAATAATTTGTTCGTTATAGAGGAGTACTGTATATCCGATTCGTTTCAACCGGAATGTTTAAAAAATGAAATTATTTTGGTTGAAGAAGCTTTATTTGGCAGAATAAAGATGGGAAAGTGTTTGAAACACAAAGATGAAAGTGACTTGAACCTGAAAGATCCAAAAGTTATTGGATGCTTCGTCAATATGAGGAATCTGATGAGTGGAAAATGTGGAGGGAAACAACGTTGCGATGTTCCTGTGGCTAAAATTGAAGAAGAAACTCCATGCTACAACTATTTGAAACATTACCTAGAAGCTACATACACCTGCTTGAAAGGTTGTTTGTGTTTTTTTTTTTGAGAAAACCCCTCAAAGATTTTTTGGCATCTAAGTTGGATTCCTATAAATTCAGTCGCAGCGAGATTTTATTATTTCTGAAAATGTTTTTGCAAGTTTTCTTGTTTGTTGTCTTCGAATTACAACAATCTTCGTCAGGTAGGAAAGCAATTTTATTTTCAACGCTCCTAATTAGTTTTGGTCGTAACAAATTATATTTCTTCTGTAGTGGAGTATTGTTGGTCTGCATCGTTTCAGCCGAAATGTCGCGAGAACGAAGTGATTCTCATAGAAGAGGCTTTGTACGGCAGGTTGAAGATTGACAGCTGCCTTAAAAATGAAATGGAAGGAGGTTTGAACAGTCAGGATAACAAATTTATTGGATGTTACGCTGATATAAAATACATGGTCAGTGAAAAATGCGGCGGAAGACAACAATGCGATCTTTTGATAGCCAAAATTGAAGAGAAAACTCCATGTTACAGCTATCTAAAACATTACCTAGAGGCCACTTATTCATGCGTGAAAGGTTATTAATGATGATTCTCAGAAGTTTTCAATTTATGAGAAGACCCCCTTGTGCTTTAGTTTATATAATGGTGAATTTTTTTAGTTTAAGATGTCAGTTGAAATAAATTTTCGGCACTATGTTGTTTGCTAAAATTGTTTATTTAATTCTCGCGGGAGTTTATTTTGGGGCTTGTGGTTAGTTATACTGTTCACAAATTTATTAAGAACAGTTTATCATAAGTTAGGAATAATTTGAAACATTTTTTTTATAGAAGAGTATTGCATCTCTGATACATTCAGTCCCAAGTGCCGTAAGAACGAGGTCATCATAATTCAGCAGGCTCTGTTTGGCAGACAGAAATTTGGAAAGTGTCTGAAACATAAGTCTGGTGTTGAAAATACCGTCGACGATCCGAAAATAATCGGTTGTTATTCAGATATAAAAGCAATTATCGGTGTAAAATGTGACGGATTACTAAGTTGCGAAATTCCAGTTGCTAAAATTGAAGAAGAAACGCCGTGTAACAATGATTTGAAACATTACTTGGAAGCTTCTTATACGTGCGTTAAAGGTAGTTGATGAAATTAAATTTTTATATTTTTGAGACGATCCATAAGGTTTGTGATATTTAACGGGTTAGTTCCTTTCTCTTCGATTTTTGGTCTAAACTCAAAATGTTTGAATTTGTCGATGTGTTTGTAATTTTCAGCGCGTTGGTTGTTGTGTCAGCGGAAGGTAAAATTCATCTTTTTGATATTTTGGCGTAGTTGGGTTAGACTAATCTTGAAATTTAGATTCCATATTTTATTTAAGAGTACTGCATTTCCGAAACATTTCAACCGAAATGCTCTCAAAACGAAATCATTCTAATCAGGAGAGCTTTGTTCGGTAGGATAAAAATCGGAAAATGTATGTTAGACGAAGAGAAGCCGGATGAAACTTTGCTTAGTAACTCTGGCTACGTTGGATGTTTTGCCGATATCGGATACTTAGTAAAGCCGCAGTGTAGCGGCCAGCGCGTTTGTAGTGTCGCCGTGGCCAGCATCAAAGCAAAAACGCCATGCAGAAATTTTTTTAAATCTTACTTAGAAGTTGATCACGCTTGTGTTCGAGGTTATTGGATGAAATTGTGTTACTTTTGGCACCCGTTCTAAAAAAAAATTGAAAATTGTTTGATATCTTAGTTTTTGTTGGATTTTCAACTGGTATATGTGTGTGGATGATTGTCTTTTTGCTGTTGTGGTGGTTTCATCCGTCAGCTGGTATACTTGATGATATTTTTTGTCAATAATTTGTTCTTAATTCGCCAGAGGTTAGTGAGGTTTCAGTTTTTTACATTAAATTTTTTTTCTGAAATTTTTATCTCGATTAGTTTAATGTAATGTTGATTGTTATTGCTTAATTGATTGAAATAATAAATAAATTTATTAAAATTTATAAATAAATTGATTCGTTTATATTATGGACTATAGTTCAAAACTTATTTAATTGCGTTTATGCGCTTGCTACGTTTTATGAAAGAAAGAGTGAAAGATTAACTGAATAAATGATTGAATAATTATTTAATTGATAGATGGATTGATTAATAAATGGATGAATGAATAAGTAATAAATGAATGATCAAATTCTTAATCCTCCCCCTCTTCCAACAACCCCTCCAATCATCAGTAATTCCTGAGACGCACGACTGCAAGGTCAGTGTGGAGTCAGACAAGCAGCACATCTCAAGTGCCCAGGCATCCAGCTGTGGTAACAAAAATCGTCCATGGAAAGTCAGCTCGATGGCAGGCCAGCGCATCAACATCAGTCTCTTGCAGCTCAAATCTGACAGCTATGACCAACAACAGCCAAAAAAGACCCTATATTTTATGGAGGGCACTGGCCAGGGCAAGCCACCGTGTCATGTTTACGGGGTTATTAGAGAAGAAAGTAGTAGGAGGAATGTTTTTGTGTGTTATGACTCCAGGAATAATGATGTTGGAAATTTTGAGGGTGAGAGCATCATGCATAGAGTGAGTAATGGCAATGAGATTGAAGTCTATTTTGAGCATGCAACTGCTAAGGAAGAGAACAGAACCACATTTCTTATCTCTCTAGAAGGTTCGGATTGATTTCCTAAAAAAAAAATAAAATAAAATTTTAAACATTTTCTGATGTATTTACGATCGAAACATTTGAATGAAACGTTGTATCAAACTAGATATTAAAAATTAAAAAATAAATTTCCTCAGCAACCGGATGCACGGATCTGATGGTTCCGGAAGATGCTTTCTGGAAGAGAGATGGGAACGTGGCAACAGTGGGGTGCCACATGAGTCTAGTGAGGTGGACCCTGAATTGTGATGGCAAGAAATGGGACGGAGTGGTCGGGAACTGTAGTCACGGTTCTTAATATTAAAATAATAATGAATAATAATAAATAACAATTATAAATAAATAATTATAATATTAATTATTATTATAGTCATAATTTTTCCCTACCATAGCTAACACGCATCGCATTCTGACTGGCGAAGTCAAGGAGAAGCTGGCCGACCGCGAAGAGAGCTCTAGCATGCGTTAGTCGTTGATAATATTATGAATTGTAACATTTTATTATGAGGTTATTATGAATAATGATGATATTATAACTAATTATAATAATTAAGAAATAATTTTTTTTTTCGACAGTAATTCCCATTGTGTCAATTGTAATGGCCGGTTTGGTCCTGTCATTTTGTATCATATGCGTTGGTGTTGTCCTACTAAACAGGTCTATATTACTATTATTATTTATATTAATAATTATAATAATAATTATTATTACTACTATTAATTATAATTACTATTTCCAGATATTATGCCATGAGTAAGAAACGAGCACTGAAGCAGATGTCTATGGGACCGAACTCAATGTACAACAACAACAGTTACATCATGCAGACGGCCAATAAAGCTTACTACGACGCCCAACAACAACGCAACAACAACATGATGATGATGATGACGAATAATAATAATAACAACATGATTATGACAATGGATAAACAAGATGAGGCATACTTCGCGGAAAATTCCCAACTGAATCCGGACACTGCTCAGTATTTTGAGCTGGATCAGGCGCTTGTTGGTAAGGAGGCTCCCGCTATGGCTTAGATGGGATGTGCGACGGTGTGGTTTTGTGTGAGTCGTTGGTACCGTGTTCGATCCCTGTTGTAGTCCTTTGTTTTGTAATGTTGTCTTCTTTTACTCAAACGTTAAAATGACATTTTTTGCACGATATAGTCATTCTGATTAACAGCGTTTTATATATGTTAATGTGTGTGTGTGTGTCTGTGTGTGTGTGTTAATTAAATTAATCAAATTGTAGTATATATGAGAAAATTTGAATTTATTTGATGACTTTGTGTGTTGTCTGACATCTTGTGAAACTTTTTATATTTTATTTTTTTATCTATAATTTTTTTAGATTTATTGTAAATAAACAAATAAATGAATAATAGTTACGGAATTGAATTGCTTAAATTTATTATAAATTATATTAAGGTTTTTTGGTAACGTTTTCGTAAATACGTCAACGTCGCGCGTTTGAAGCTGTTTTGGTTTGTTGTCATTTCGGGTTTTCTTTTCAAAAATTTGAAAGTTAGAAATTAGGATAGACATTATTCATGAAAATAATATTTTGATCAAATTCATTTGTTGATCTAACTAATTGATATTGAAAGTTGAAACAAGATGTTTGTGAATCGCGACGATCCAAGTAAGCTTTATTTATTTTGCTTATCCATTCATTCATTCATTTTTCATTCATTCATTCGTCCATCCATTCATTCATTCACATTCATTCGTTCATTTTCGAATTTTAATTTAAAAATTTCAATTTATAATTTTTTTTCACTATAAGCCATAACTCCATTCTGCATCATCTTATCGACTGGGGCCGGTGTCTGCCTATTTTTGGCCTGTTTAGGAGTTTACATGTTACGTAGGTGAAGTCGTTTGATTGAATTTTTGATCGACATCTTGATCAATCAATCACTCATCCAGTCAATCAATCACTCACCGATCATTCGACCAATCAGCATTCAATCAATCATTCCCCCCAACCAATCAAAATGCAGGTTTTACAGATCAAGCAACAAAGAAATCGAACAAATTGAAAATGAAATAATGCAAAGAAACGAAATTGCCAAAATGAGGAAAGATAAATTATACAAAGACATAAAATTTATGGAAGACGCAAATGAACTTCTGGTTTAAAAATATTTAAAAACTTTGTCTCTGACAATGGAAACCTTAAATGAACTCAACAGAAAAACCTATTCAGCTTAAATTGAATATTTCAACTACTTCTACTACTACTGCTGCTGCTGCTACTACTACTACTACTACTAATAATAATAATAATAATACTAATAATAATACTAAAATTAACATATAGCTTAAATTTAGGTAGGTATAATTTTTTTAGAAGTAAAAATAAGATTGTTTGTTTGTTATTGTTCATTAATTTTTGCTTCTATAATAATAATAATGATATATATACTAAAAACAACAATAATAATAAATATTTACGATAGTATATACAATAATAATATAAATAATAATAGTTACACATTCTAACTCAGCAAAAACTCACCGAAGTTCAGGTTTTAATTTCTATTTCAGTAAATAAAATCATTCCATCTGGTGCACGTGTATGTGTGTGTGGTTTTGTGTGTGTGTGTGTGTGTGGTTTTGTGTGTGTCGTTGTAAGTGTTTGTGTGTGTGTGTGTTTGTGTGTATGCATTTTTATACTTGTTGAACTTTGAACTGGAAAAGTTGACACACATCATGACGAGTGAGTAAAGAAGTGATCTTGGTCGGCCAAATAATAATAATAATAAAAGTATTTATTATTATGGTTATTATTTGTTGTTGTTGTTGTTGTTATTATTATATAAATGATTTACTGTTGTTTTCTCAAAAGGTAGTAAAAATTAATTAAAGCGGTAAACATGTTTTTAGTCCAAATGCTAGAACGTGGAAGACATACATAGAGACATACAAACATACACAAACAAACATACATATAAACATACATACATATAAACATACATACATACAAACGGACATACAAACGTGATTTCAAACACGTTTGCCGAAGCGATTTTTGGAACGAACTTTGATTTTTTATTTGATGGTCGTCATCATTTTCACCAACAACATCGTCACCCTCATCTTCAACATCAACTCTTTCATCTGATAATATCTTTATATATATATATATATAAAGATATATATATATATATATATATATATATTTCTTTATGGATATATATATATATATATATATATATATATATATATTTCGACATCCCAGCTCTTATGTTTAGGAATTTTTCAATATAGAAATAAAAATTTATTTAAATTTTATTAGGAAAATACATTAAAAGTAGTAATAATAATAATAAAGTTTGCATCATAAAAGTGTACATTCAGGTATTTTATACAAAAAATTCCACACAAACAAACATCATCCTCTATAGATATAAAAGCTGATACACATATACACACACATAAATTGTATAAAAATACAAAAAGATACAAAGAAATACATAGGTTGTATACCAAAACTGATACAAATATATACAAACCGTTCAGAAACATGTTGGGATCTAGCTTTAGGATATTGTTGGTTTTTGCAACCTCTTTGGCGTGTTGTGTGTACGGTTTCTCCACTGGATGCCCAATGAGTGCTTGTTCAGGTATTTTTATGTTTTTCATTCATTAATTCATTTGTTTGTTCGTCCATTCATTCATTCATTTCTTTATTCTTTTGTTCTTTCGTTCGTTCATACAGTCAATCAATCAATCATTCATTTATTCATAAATTACACGCGGAAATTTATGAACACACACATGCACAAACAAACAAATATATAAACGAACATACAAACGAACAAAAATAGAAACATACAAACAAACGAACATACACACAGATTTATTGCCGAATCACGGATACAGACAGACAGGACCATGCCCAATCAAAGTCACTACTGATGTTCAATGTTACCAAGCTGGAAAACCAGTCACAAGTTTGACGGTTTTGTGGTTTTATTCATCCATTCGTTCATTTATTTATTCAATCATTTATTCATTCAATCATTTATTCGTTCAGTCATTCATTTTAACATTCAATTCTCAACCGATCACAAACAGTTACAATAAAAGGTGGCGATGGTAAAAAATATCGAGGCATCGGCTTACAGGTTTGTTCATTCATTAACTCATTCATTCATCCATTCACTCATTAATTAAATAATTAATTCATTCACTCACTCATTAATTCATTCACTCAATCATCCATTCATTCATTAATTCATCCAACTAGGTTCGCCAAAAAGCTGGTGACGGCATAGCAGAGGGGGTTTTTGAAAAGATAGACACCACGCAGTACAAGTTGAACTCTTGCTATGGGGAGAAAGTAGGTGATGATGGTCGAGAGAAGATGATGGTGATGATGGTGGAGGTGATGATGATGATGGATAGATGATGATGATGATGGCGGTAGTGGTGATGATTGTTATTATTATCATAATGATTGTTATTTTGAATACATTTCACTGCAGTTCATCTTATAAGGCATTTCTTTTTCTCATCATCCATTGTTATTATTGATATTATTATTATTGATATTATTATAATTATTATTATTGTTCCCACGCACAGAATTATTTTACGTTCCGGGATAACGAGGAAAAAGATGGGACCACGTTGACCTGGATCCCTGAATCCCAGCAAGGAGAGCTGGAAATTGTGTAAGTGTGCGTGTATGTGTAAGTGTGCGTGTATGTATGTGTGTGTATGTGTTTGTGTGTGTATGTATGTTTGTGTATGTATGTGTTTGTGTATGTATGTGTGTGTATGTATGTGTTTGTATTTGTGTGTATGTGTACGTATGTGTATGTGTGTATAATTATTCATAGGTACTCTCCCGTCATAAACTTCGATACTTATTGGGTCAGATTGAAGACTTCACTTCCGCCGTGCTAAATTTTTTTACCGTCATTATTTTCTGGTGAATGATTGAATGGATGAATTGGTGGATAGATAGACGAATGAATGGATGGATAAACGAACAGACGAATGAAAGAATGAATGACCATCGAATCAAGGTTCCTTTTCAAATTTATTTTTTTGTTCACGAAGTGAAAATAAAAATATGTCATACAAAACCGTTTCGGCTAATTACAATATTTAAAACATTAAAAAAAATAATAACGTTCACAGACAAAACCACACACACACATACACGCACACACACACGCACGCACGCACGCACACACATACACTGTAACAAAAACGTATTTTAAAGTAAACGTAGTAATATTATAAAGGTAGAAAAACCAACAACACGTAGCCTAGTTTAATATTAATTATAGTATGTTTGTGTTTTTTAATTATTATTTATTAATAATTCTGTATTATATTATGTCTGTTATTGTTTATAAAATCAGTCAATTAAATATCAGATAATCATCAGCTTAAGCGTCTAAATCATCACCTTATTCACCAACATAGCCATAAATCATTTTTTTTTGAATATTCTAATTTTGAATCATAATTTTGAAAAAAGCATTCTCATCTAACTAACAAAACAAACGGTATCGACAAGAATCGAACACGGTACCAACGACTCACACAAAACCACACCGTCGCACATCCCATCTAAGCCATAGCGGGAGCCTCCTTACCAACAAGCGCCTGATCCAGCTCAAAATACTGGGCAGTGTCCGGATTCAGTTGGGAATTTTCCGCGAAGTATGCCTCATCTTGTTTATCCATTGTCATAATCATGTTGTTATTATTCGTCATCATCATCATCATGTTGTTGTTGTTGCGTTGTTGTTGAGCGTCGTAGTAAGCTTTGTTGGCCGTCTGCATGACTGAACCGTTATACAAGGGGTTCTGTCCCATCTGCTTGCTCTTGTTCATTGAGTAATACCTGCCAGTATGTTTGTATTTACGGTTTGTATTTTGTATTTACCTGACAGTATGTTTGTACTAGTACAATTTTTGTGTGAAATATTACCTGAATGTTTGTATGTATAAATGTATACACCCAGGTATGGTTGTGTGTGTATGTGTGTATGTATGTGTGTGTATGTTTGTGTGTTCTTTAATTATTTAATTGCTATTCCTATTAAAAATTATTATTATTATTATTGTTATTATTGCAATTATTATTGTTATTGTTAACATTACCTCTTTAAGAAAACTATCCCAATGCAAGCGATGAACAGACACAACACAAGACCGGCAATAATGATTGTGAAGACCATGATCACTGAGTGTGTGCGTGCGTGCGTGTGTGTGTGTGTGCGTGTGAATTGTTAGTAAAATAATAAAACGAAAATAATAAAAATAATAATAATATGAGCAATTTGAACAATAAAAATAACAAAAAACTAACTCTGATCATTACCAGCACTGCCATCCTTCTGATTGGTCACAAAGGATTTCTCAATTTTTTCAAAATTTTCAATGTAAGAAGGAGCTAGAGTTGGAATCAAAATAATATTTTTACTCGATGCGAAGCGCTATACAATCAACATTATAAAGCGCTATATAACTAATTGCTTTATAAAGCGCTATACAATTTAACCACCAAAAACAATAAAACTTTGAAAATCAAACACGGGATAATTTCCGGATACCGTAACTACAATTCCCCATCACTCCCGCCCATTTATTCCCAACGCAGCGCAGCGTCCATCTTATCCAGGATCTATGGCAAGCCACGATGACCTCACTTCCGGTTCTGTTCCAGGTGGCATCCTCCGGGGGTCTCAGGTCACTACATCCGGTGGCTGGGAGGTTAGATAGAAATAGAAACAGTGATGGGGGAGAATTTTTGTAAAGATGGATGGTAATATATGTTTTAGAAAAATCAAAATTAAATTTTCCAACAAATTGAAATATAAAATCTTAAAACTAATCGTCGTAGTACAAAAAGCACGTAAAAAAAGCTGCCCAACCCTCCAGCGAGACAAGAAACGTCGTTCGATTCTCATTTCGATCGTGTTGCTCAAAGTAGACATCAACCTCATTGGAAGAACTGGCGTAGTGCAGCGAATTATCAGTGAGATAGTTGTTGTCATCATTAAAGTTGCCATCGTAACACACGTAGACCATCTGCCTGCTCGATTCTTCCTTGATGTGGGCATAAACCTGACAGGGCGGATTGCCATGGTGGGGGTTGCCCTTGGCGAAGTAGAGAGATTTTTTGGGAAGTTGCTGGTCGTAACTGTCTGACTTTAACTGAAGGAGAGTTATGTTGATGTGCTGGCCTGCCATGGAGCTGATTTTCCACGGTCGAGATTTGCTACCACAGTTGGAGACCTGAGCGCTGGAAATGTGCTGCTTTTCTTGGACCACACTCACCTTGCAATCGTGGGTCTCGGGAACAACTGAATATGAGGGTTGGGGTGAACCGAAGGGCTCGTTTTAGTTAGTGAATTGGTTGGGTTTTGGTTTAGTCGGTGTGATTGGTGGTTGTTTGTTTGTTGTTGGAAAATGCGTAATTCGAAATTTGTTTTTATAAATATTTATCTAATTAATTATAGTTTGGTATAGTTTGAAAAATGTTTATTCTGTTTAAAATATTAAATTTCTATATATTTTTTAATTAATTTTGATGAAAATGAGTTTAGTTAACAAAATTATTGAAAATGAAAAAATCTTTAAGCAATTTAAAAAACGTATGTAATCTTACTTCTTTAGACCGTAAATTAGTATGAAATTACATCATTCAAATAAAAGTGGGTCGTCGTCAGTCAGTCAATGAGAAAGGGAGGAGAGAGAGAGAGAGAGAGAGAGAGAGAGAGAGAGAGAGAGAGAGAAGAGACAAAATAAATATACCTAATTACAAACAGTTAAAAAACAATACACACCCAACCTACATACACAATCTTACACAATCAAATTCAACTGCCACTTACAACGTAAAACCCGTACAACCCATGATAAAGAAACAACTCAAACTAACACAACCTTTCAAGCAAGTGTATTCAACTTCGAGATAATGCTTAAGAAATGATCGGCATGTTGTTCTAGCCTTCAAACTCGCTACCATAACACTACAGCTCTCTCTGCCAAGGCATAATGGTTCGAGAATGTGCTTAATATCGGCGAAGCAACCGATAAAATCGGTATTTTTCATCATCGGATCGTTTGGGTTCTCGTCGTCAATCAAACAACGACCAAATTTTCTTCTGCTGAATAGCGCCTCTTCGATAATAAGGATTTCATTTCGAAGACACCTTGGATGGAATATCTCGGAGATGCAATAATCTTCGGCTTTTGAAATTTTATTTCGTGTGTATGGTGATGGAAAATTATATTTCGAGCCCCATTTCAGGTTTGAAGTTTTTAAGGAGAAAAAAATAACTACCTGTCGTCCAGCGAATCACAAACAGCAAACAATTCACCAGTACAGGAAACACAAATACCATTTTAACACTCAAAATACCGAAAATTTCATTAACAGTAGCGAGAATTATTTTATATGAAAATGTTACATAGACCGTCTCAAAAACGCAAAGAACAAAAAAAGTTTAACCCATCCCAACCAACCTCTGATGCATTGATATGTGGCTTTCAAATAATGCTTCAAATATTTGTAGCAAGTTGTTTTAGCTTCAATCTTTGCGACTGGCATGTCACATTTCTGCTTACCAGAACATTCATCAGCCACAACTTTCTTAACGTCGGTGAAACAACCGATAAATTTTTTATCTTCCAAATTTGATTCACTGGGTTCCTCGGGAAGAATGCATTTTCCTAAGCTCAATCTGCCAAAAACGGCTTCTTCAACAACAATTACCTCGTTTTGCTGACATCTTGGCTGGAAAGATTCAGCGAAACAGTATTCCTCTGATGAAATTTTAATCAAAATTTGTAATTAATCCTACTTACTCCAATCAATAAACCCGACCTACCTGCACGTAAAATAGGAAAAAAGAACAACAGAAATAAAACTGAATTCATCTTAATGTAGATCTTACTCGATCGAATGAAACTCAACCCAATTCAACAAAACTCAAACCCCACGCTGAAACAACTGCACCGAATAAACAGGGAACATCTCAAAATGAACAATTTCGAAACAAAACAAACCTTTCACACATTTGTACTCCACCTCTAAATACTGTTTCAAATATTTATAGCAAGTAGTTTGGGCTCCTATCTTCGCAACTAAAATTTCACATAGTTGTTTCCCGGAGCAATTTGCATCTACACTCGTTTTAACGTCTGTGAAACAGTTGATAAATTTTTCATCTTCCAAGTTAGATTTGGTCGGTTCCTCATGAAATATACATCTTCCGACTTTAAACCTCCCGTACAAAGCCTTCGCGATCACTAAAACTTCGTTCTGGTGACATCTCGGCTGAAAAGATTCATCGTTGCAAAACTCCTCTAAAAATATTTTCATTCCAATTATATGTAAATTTTTTTAGACAATCTTCCCAGCAAACTCACCTCCAGAAATCATGGAAACGAAGGATAAAACTATAAAAATTACTGAAACCATCTCAAAATTTGTTGAAATGAATTATTGGAAACTTCAGAAAGCAACACTAACAGGAATTATTAAATACATCAAATCAAACTTCCTTACAGGGATCGTCTCAATTAGAACGAAACACATTTTTATAAGACCAACCTGTTCGACATTGGTATCTCGCTTCCAAATAAAACTTTAAGTACTTATAGCAGTTTGTCTCAGCGTTCAGTTTCGTTATCGTCACTTCACAATTTTGTTTTCCTGAGCAGCTAGACCGTAGTAGATCCACGACATTTGTGTGACAGCCGATAAATTTCGGATCTCTCAGATTTGTTTCGCTTGGTTCCTCCCGAGTTATGCATCTGCCGTGCACCAGCCGCCCAAACAAAGCCATTTCAATGACTATCACCTCGTTACCTGCACATCTGGGGCTGAAAATCTCGTCGTGGCAGTATTCATCTACGTTCAGTCAATCAAATTATTTCATTTTATATGATCATTCTATTTTCGAGAATAATTGAAAAGACTTGTAACAACTACCTCCGAGAACAGAGCCAACAAGCGTTGAAATGATCAATACGAACAGCATATCGAGCATGTATTAGACGAACTTATTTACAAACTTCCTACTCTAGCAATAAAATACGTATTTCTTGCTATGTTGTAAGCAACGTTTAAGCGAACTAACCAACCTAGAATAATTAAAGTTCACGACGAAGATTGAATGACAAATTAAATAAACTGCCTTCCTCATTATATAACCACACACACAATATAGAAAAAAATTTCAAAGGGATCATATCAAAAAGTATTAAGCAACCTTTTATGCAAGCATATGAAGCTTCAAGATAATGCTTAAGATAGCTGTGGCACGGCGTTTCGAATTCTATCTTGGCGACTGACACTTCGCAATCTCTTTTACCGGTACAGAAATTATTCAAATAAAACTTCGCGTCGACATAGCAGCCAATGAATTGTTCATCATTCAGGTAGAGTTCGTTTTTGACTTCATTTCTCGACAGACACTTTCCAAAACGTTCCCTACTAAACTTGGCTTCAGTTATAAAAATAATTTCATTGTTTCGACACCGAGGTTTAAACGTGTCGGAGTTACAATATTCTTCTGTAATTGTTAAAAATTTATCTTCACAATTATTTCCTCGCAAAAAAATACTTCCCAAACAACTTACTTCCACAACTGACGCTTAATAAAGATATCAGACCAACAAAACCAACAGCAACAACGTTCAGAAACATTTTGAAATTACTGAAAGCTCAACCGTGATCTATTATTTTGTCAAAAAAGTCACAGGGATCATCTCAAAACTGAACAAAACATTTTACAAACATTTTCCAGTCAAATTTGATCCTTACTAAAAATCATTACCTTTCAAACAATAATGCATGACATCCAGATAATTTTTGAAAAATCCATGACACGTAGTTTCAATTTCAATGTTAGAAACCGCGACATCGCATTGGGTTTTCCCAACGCATAAGTCATTCAGATACTTTTTAACATCCACAAAGCAGCCGAGAAATTTGGGATCCTTCATGTAAGTTTTTCCAGGATTTGGACTTTCCATTCTCAAACACCTCCCAAAATCCTTTCTGCCGAAATAAGCCTCCTTTATTATTATCATTTCGTTCTGGTTACATTTGGAACGGAAAGTTTCTGAATTGCAATATTCCTCTAACAAAAAATTTATTTTTCAATTATCTAAATCAAAAAAGAGAGAGAGAAACAAACTTACCACTGGAAATCTTTGTCAAAAAAAACATCAATATAACCCCACAGCTTAAAGTTGAGAACATTTTCAAAAAATGCAATATACAATATCTGCCTTTGTATCTAACTATTTTTTGATAGTAGTAGAAATAACAATATGAAACGCGTTTGTTATTTCCTATTTAAACACGAATTCAAGGGACCAGATCAAATTTAACAACATCCAGTGACAACATTCTCAATGAATTTAATTTCATTTCATACACACTCAATTACCTTTCAAACACGAAAACTCAACCTCCAAATAATTTTTCGTGAAACCATGGCACGGGGTAGTTACTCCTATCAAAGCCACCGGAATTTTGCAAACATTTTTCCCAGAACATGTATTCACAACAAGCTGTTTAACATCAACATAACATCCGAGAAATTCCGGATCGTTCAAAAAACTTTTACTGGGATTGGGACTTTCCATCTTTAAACATCTCCCAAAATTTTTTCTACCAAAGTAAGCCTCTGTGATTAATATTATCTCATTTTGACGACATTTTGGGCTGAATATTTCCGAATTGCAAAACTCTTCTACAAATGAATTATTAAGTAAAGCAGTTTAAAAACGGATCACATTGGTGGATAATTTCCAAAGAACTCACCGCCGTTAACCGTCACACAAATAAAATATAAAACAAAACTTAGCAGGAAAAACATTTTTGGAAAATTTTCAATCACGAACTTTTCATTCCACAAATCACAAAAGTCTCTGGATTGAATGAAACATTTAAACTAACGTATCGAAGGGGTAGTCTCAAATCTCAAAATACAAAAAAATAGCACAACATACCTTTCAAACATTTGTATTCAACTTCCAGATAATTCTTAAAAAATCCATGACACGTTGTTTCGATTTCAATATTAACAACAGCAATGCTGCAATCATTTTTTCCGACGCATTTCTCATCCAGAAACTGTTTTACATTCACAAAGCATCCGAGGAAGCGAGGATCTGTCAAATACGCATCTCCAGGATTGGGACTTTCCATTTTCAGACATCTACCAAAATTTTTTCTCCCGAAATACGCTTCCGAAATCATTATTACTTCACTCTGATGACATTTTGGTTTAAATGTTTCCGATATACAATACTCTTCTAAAAAAATAAGTGATTTTTTTTAGTGTTAATTTACTTTGAGCGCATTCACTGAATCTTATTCTACTAACCGCACAACAGACAGCCGAACTTCAAAAGAACCAGAAAATTTAAAATTTTAAGAGAAGCCATTTTAAAAATTACTAAAAATCAAATATTTTGAAAATACTGTTTGTTATATACCAAGAAACAATCACAAACACTAGGGGTCCTCTCAAACTCATTGAAAACAAAAAATCAATCAAATGAAACCTTTCAAACAGGAATAAGATGCTTCCAAATAGTATTTAAAATGCTTCGGACATGTAGTGTCAGTTTCAATTTGAACAACGAAAATTTCGCAGTTCTGCTTTCCGGCGCATTTTGGAGAAATCAACTTTTTAACATCTTTGTAGCAGCCCACAAAGCCAGGATAACTCAGCAAACTTGGATCAGATGTCAGCTCATGTGACAGACATCTCCCTATATTCTTCCTACCGTACAATGCCTCCTTTATAATTATTATTTCGTTTTGAGAGCAGCGCGGTCTAAATGTTTCTGAGATGCAGTATTCCTCTAAATAATGCGAAATCAAAAAAATTAACTAGTGCCAGATGAATTGAATATCAAGGGTAAGCAAAAATGATGAACTCACCGCAGAACGACAATTTTTTCAATATGAAAATTGTATGAAGAACGAAAATCGTTTTAAAACTGAAAAAATGCATATTTAGCGATTGATTTGTACACAAGATAATGATAATTCAACGTTTTATAAGATAAAAAATTCAGGGGTCGTCTAAAAAATTAAAACTCAGCTTAAATCTCTTATCGAGTTTTAACTAAACCTTTGAGACAACGATGCTTGGCTTCCAAGTAGTATCTGAAATGTTTGGAGCAGTGAGTATCAACTTCTATTTGGGCAACAGCCACCTCACACCGCATCCTTCCAGCACACAAAGGTTCAATAATCCTCCTTACATCAGCGTAACATCCAACGAAACCTGGCGTCTTCAACAAATGTTCATCTGGCACTCCAGCGTCTGATAAACATCTGCCTAGTTTCTTTCTGCCGTAAAACGCCTCAACTACTTGTAGGATCTCATTTTGATGACACACCGGCTTAAATACATCGGAAATACAATATTCCTCTGAAACATTTTAATCGTTTGAAAACTTAAAATTCATTTAATGAAATTTCTATGAGGTGGCTTACCGCTGTCAACAGTTTTAATAACTACTAATAAAACATGCGATAAAAACAAAATTATTTTAAACATTTTCAAATATTTTTTTACGGGTTTCAAAGAACTCCAAAGTTTTATAATCTACCAACAGCCTAAAAATGGCGAGGGATTCTCTCAAAACAAACCAACACAAAACAAACAAACCACTGAGCATTTGTCAAACGAAACCTACCTCCAACACAAACATAAGCAACTTCCAGATAATATCTAAACAGTTTGTGACAAGATGTTTCAACGTCGATTATGGCCACGGAGACAGAGCAAAGGTTCTTTCCAGCACACTGAGGTTCCAAAATGTTCCTCACGTCAGCGTAACATCCAACGAATCCTGAATAGTTTTTAAATGACTCTACTATTGAACCCTCGTTCTCCAGACATCTGCCGATTTTCTTTCTACCAAAATTTGCGGTTTTAATTGAAATAACTTGGCTAAGCGGGCATTTAGGTTGAAATGTTTCTGAGTAGCAGAACTCTTGAGCTATTAAATAAAATTATAAGTTGCACTATCTTTCTCGATAATAACTTTTTAAATTAATAAACAAACCGCCGAAAGTCAATCCAAAATCCAACAGCAGATACAAAATTATTTTACGAATCGTTTCCATTTTAAACCAAACTCACGAACTGATACAATATCGTTAAAAAATGCAGTAAATAAACGACGACGATGTTTAATAAAACGTTTTCATGAGGGATCTTCTCGAAACAATCAAACACAAATTTCCAGACCAACCTTTAAAACAACTATGAACAGCCTCCAAATAATTTTGAAACAGCTTATGACATCCCGTGTTGGTTGTTATTTTTGAGACAATTATCTCACAACTTCTTAGTCCCGCACATTCTGGCTCGATAATGTTTCTAACATCAGAGTAACAACCAACGTATTTTGGATCATTTCTGAAGGATTTCGTAATTTCCCCCTCATCCGACAGACACCTGCCAAGATGTTTTCTGCCATACTGAGCTTCTTTTATGTACAAAACTTCATTTTGATGGCAGTGAGGCTTGAATGTGTCGGAGTTGCAGTATTCCTCTGAAGAAATTTCAACGCATTTTCAAGTGGAAACAAAAAATCCGAATAAATTTCAAGGCTAACCTGATTTCACTTTCACACTTGTCAAGAAGATTGAGACAAATAAATATTTATAAACTAAATATATAAAAATTTTCACCATTATTTTGACAATTAATATAGCATTGACTTTTGAGACGAAAAGAAACAGAACAGATTATTCAAAAGGTCCAAGTTATATAAATGTAACATCGGGGAATTTCTCAAAATGTAATTAAACAACAAACCTCTGACGCATCTGTATGAAACATCTAAATAATTTTGAAATAATTTGTGGCATTTTGTGACAGCTGTAATTTTAGCTACTAGGATTTCACAAATTTGTCTGCCTGCACATTTTGAATCGATGAAATTTTTAACGTCAGCGTAACAGCCAACGAAGCCAGCGTCATTTTTGAAAGATTCAACGATCGATCCTTCGTCGGATAAACACCTGCCGATGCTTTTCCTACCGAAATGAGCCATCTCGATAAGAATTATTTCATTCTGTGGGCACTGAGGTTGGAATGTATCCGACATACAAAATTCTTCTACAAAAGATTAATCAAATTTCAACAAATTCTAACAATGATTCATCGAAAATTCTTTCCTCTAACCTTCTGAGGAAAACCTCAAAAGAACTAAACAGACAAACCCCGATATCAGAAGCATAATTCAACGCAGTTACATCAAAATTTCTTATTCAATAAAATATTTTTTTAAATAGGATCGTCCTCATGAAGTAAAATAAAACTTTCACTTAATTTATAAGAACATAAAAATATAATTAAACGGGGTCGTCTCAAATTATGAAGATAAAAATGGAAACCTCTGACGCATGTATACTCCACTTCCAGATAAGATCTAAACATGTTATAACAAGTCGTTTCAATTTCAATCTTTGCCACAGAAATTTCACATCGTTTCTTTCCGGAACACTCGGGAACGATGAGATGTTTCACATCCACAAAGCATCCCACGTAACTGGGATTGTTTAAGAAGGATTTATCAGGGATTCCTTCTTTTCTTATACACTTTCCTATGCTCATGCGGCCGTACACCGCCTCTTCAATGAAAATTATCTCATTTTGCTGGCATCTGGGTTGAAATGTTTCCGACATACAATATTCTTCTAAAAATTTACGTTGGTTACAATTTTAATGATAATCTTATTTTCACAAAATCAAATTTTCAATCTGATCTAACCTGCGAACGCCAAGGTAAACGAGAAAGAAATAATTAAAGATGTTAAAAGCATCATGTTGTAACTTAATTTCCTTACGAAGCACTTCTATTTTTTTTACAAACGTTTATAACTCACGCCGAATTAAATAGTGAAAAGGATTTTTTAAGTAGGGAACGTCTCAAAACAAATCAGTACAAATAGCTACTAGCATTCATACGAGCAAAACCTTTTACACAGACGTAGTCCACCTCCAAATAGGACTTGAACATTTTATGGCAAGTTGTCGCAATATCATCCTTACCAACATAAATTTCGCATTCCTGTCTGCCTGAACATCGAGGTACAACTAAGTGACGAGCATCCACAAAACATCCCACATATCCCGAACTTTTCAGAAAATATTCGTCCGGGATTCCTTCGTTTTTAATGCATTTTCCGATAGATTTTCTGCCGTAGATGGCTTCTTTAATGACTACTATCTCGTTATGCTGACATTTCGGCTGAAATACATCTGACATGCAATACTCTTCTACAAAAGTGAGGATTGTTTCATTTAGAATGATTCGCTCGATAAAATATAATAAGGGTTGAACCTACCTGCACGCACCAAGTCAAATAAAATTAAAACCAATTTTAACAGCAACAACATTTCGTCTCTTGTATAAAGCAAGTTAAACTTTAGAAATTCAAAGTGCTGTGATTGAAGAAAGAGGCTCAAATTAAGAGTAAAAAATTGGGATCGTCTCAAAAATCAGCATTCAAAATGAAACCTTTAACACAAAAATAATCCACTTCCAGGTAGGATTTGAACATTTTGTGGCACGTTGTTTCCATTTCAATTTTCACTACTGGGATTTCACATTCCCGTCTGCCGGAACATCGTGGAACAACTAAGTGACGTGCATCCACAAAACATCCCACATATCCGGGATTTCTTAAATTGTATTCATCCGGACTTCCTTCCTTTTTTATGCATTTCCCAATTGATTTCCTGCCGTAGATGGCTTCCTTGATAACTACAATCTCACTCTGATGACATCTTGGCCGAAACACATCAGACATACAATATTCTTCTACAAATTAAAATTTTTTAAATAATGAGATTACAATTGGTCCAAACTATGATACAAAAATCTCGAGCTTTACCTCCTCGAATCAAACCGAATGTGAAAACAACAAGATTGAGCAATAGCAACATTTTTACACTACAAAGAATTCAGTATTGTTAGTACTAAAATTTGTTCAGACTTTCATACGAACAGGTTTAAATAAATATAAAAAAACGGGGCTGTCTCAAAAATTGACAACTAATAAACCTTTCACACATGAATAATCCACTTCAAGATATGATTTAAACATCTTATGGCAAGTCGTTCCAATGTCGATTTTAGCAACCAAAATTTCGCATTCTCGATTGCCGGAACATCGAGGTATAACTAAATGACGTGCATCCACAAAGCATCCCACGTATCCTGGACGAGTCGAAAAGTATTCATCCGGAATTCCTTCATTTTTGATGCATTTCCCAATTGATTTCCTTCCGTAGATAGCTTCCTTGATAACCACTATCTCGTTTTGCCGACATCTAGGCTGAAAAACATCTGACATACAATACTCTTCTACAAAATAATTTTAATAACTCTTATAAAATTTCTCAACAACAGATTATTTTAAAAAAATCTGAGATACCTACCTCCGTTAAGCAAGCCAAAAAAAATAAAAATAAGATGTAAAAAGAGCAACATCTTTTTGCCACACAAAACAAATTTAACATTTTTCAGTGAAAAGAAAAGCTTATATGCAGCGGTATGAATAGGATCGTCTCAAAAATCAGCAACCAAAATGAAACCTTTAGCACAAAAATAATCCACTTCCAGGTAGGATTTGAACATTTTGTGGCATGCTGTTTCCATTTCAATTTTTGCTACTGGGACTTCACATTCCCGTCTGCCGGAACATCGAGGTACAACTAAGTGACGTGCATCCACAAAACATCCCACATATCCGGAGTTTTTTAGAAAATATTCGTCCGGAATTCCTTCATTTTTTATGCATTTCCCAATAGATTTCCTTCCGTAGATGGCTTCCTTAATAATTACAATTTCACTCTGAAGACATTTGGGCTGAAAGGTGTCCGCATTACAATATTCTTCTATAAAATGAAATTTTCAGGTATGTATTCTGATCAACAAAATATTTAAAAATCTGTAAATAATTACCTCCACGAGCCAAATCAAGCGAGAAAAGAGCAAACTGAACCAACAAGTACAACAACATTCTTTATGTTGAATTAACAAATCACAATTTAAGAGAAGCAGAGAGCAGAACGTTTAAATAACAAAACACATACGGGATTGTCTCAAAAAATTGAAACTAAAAAAACCTTTAAAGCACGAATAATCCACTTCCAAATATGACTTAAACATTTTGTGGCAGGTTGTTCCAATGTTAATTTTAGCGACCCAGACCTCACATTCCTGTTTACCGGAACATTTAGGGACTACTAAATGACGTGCGTCTACATAACATCCCACATATCTGGGTAGTTTTGATAAATACTCATCCGGAGTTCCTTCATTTTTGATGCATTTCCCAATTGACTTCCTTCCGAAGAGGGCATCTTTAATTACTATTACCTCATTTTGTCGACATTTGGGTTGAAAGGTGTCGTCGTTACAATATTCTTCTAAATGTTTGAAACAAAATTAATACATGTTGATTATCATCTGCTGCCTGTTACTCATTGAACGTGAAAGATATCAAAAAAATGAACTAACCACCAAACGAACAATTTTTGAGCATCAAGAAAATAACCAAGAACCACGATCGCAACAGGAATAAGTTTATCATTTTTCTAATTATGTTTTGCCAAATAATAAACAACGTTATCCGTTTTTCTAAATAAAATTCAGAAGTATTTAAACACAAAGACCTCAGGGATCGTCTCAACAAGCAGCAGTTAACAACTTTTTGAAACATAAATTTTATTCCTACCTCTAACGCAGGAGTACTCGGCTTCCAAATAATTCTTGAACATCTTCCGACAGTTGGAGTCGGCGTCTATTTTTGCTACAGCCATCTCACACGCTTGTCGACCAGCGCAAATTTCGTTGAAAATATTTTTAACATCCACAAAGCATGCCAAATATCCAGACGATTTGGAGAACAAGTCATCAATTGGACCTTCCGCAGATAAGCATCTGCCCCACCTCATTCGGCCGAACAAAAAATTTTTCAGAAGAATGATTTCATTTTGAGGACATTGCGCTTGAAATGTTTCCGATTGGCAATACTCCTCTAAAAATTATTTTAACAAAACTTTACAGTTGCTTCAATTTTGAATGAAACTTTTTGGCTAACCTGACGAAACTACTGATATCACTGCTAAAATTATTGATAAATATATCTTCATGACCAAAATTTTGAAAATCAACTTTGGAAATCTAAACGCAAAACATTTCAAGCATCAAAGCCTTACATTAATTTATACAATAAAAAAAACTTGGTCGTAATTTTTCAGAAGGGGTCGTCTCAAATGATAAAAAACATCCACTCAACCTTTTAAACATCTGTACTTCACGTCCAAATATCGCATGGCGTATGAATAGCATGTGTTTTCAACTTTGAAAGAGACAACTGGAACATTACACTTTTGCGAACCAGAGCAACTCCTATCCAAGATCTCTTTAACATCCGCATAGCAGCCGATGAACTTGAAATCTTTCAAATTTTCCTTGCTCGGTGCTCCTTCCTCCAACAGACATCTCCCAACATCCATCCGGCCGAATAGGGCATCATCAATCACAACCACCTCGTTCTTACCACACTCTGGTTTGAATGTTTCAGATAAGCAGAACTCCTCTGCAACCAAAAACTTATTTTTACAAAATTAAATTTTCTCTTGAAAAATTTTTCAATCTAACCTCCGGATAAATAACCAAAGCGAAAGTAGACGAGAGTTAAGTGAATTATAAAACTTTTCGTAGCCATTTTTTGCAAATTTCAACAAACAGCATACATCCTCACTTCATATACAGAGAAAATAAGTTACGAAGGGGTCGTCTCAATCATAACAAATGAAAAAAATGCTCAATCAAATTACCAACCCTTATAGCACCTGAACTTCACATCTAAATATCGAATCGCAAAAGAGTAGCACGTATTTTCAACCTTCAAAGATGCTACCACGACGCTACACGTTCGTTTCCCAGAACATTTTTCCTCCAAAATATTCTTAACATCTGCGAAACACCCAATAAATTTAGGGTCTTCCAGATTTTCAAGGCTCGGAGCACCCTCTTCCAACAAGCACCTACCAACGCTGATTCTACCAAAGTACGCTTTTTCTATTACAACTATTTCGCTTTGTCCACATTGAGGTGAGAATATTTCTGAGTTGCAATACTCTTCTAAGAATTTAAAAACAGTTTTTTAAAGAACTCAATTAAAATATCTTTTTCAAAAATTGCTTACCGCTAAGAAATTTGTCGAATTTTAGAAGAATCGTTAGCAAAAACAAACATAACGGAAGACGCATTTCAAATTTTTTCAAGACTAGATTCAACACTAGAAGACCCAAATTTTTATATTGAAATTTGTTAAGGGATCGACTCAAATCTAGGACATTCAAAAACACATCAAGCAAAGCAAACCTCTCAGGCATACGTGAGAAACTTCGAGATATCTGACAAAGGATGTTGGACACGATGATCCGTGGAACTCAATGTGGGCCACAACAACCTCGCACTTCCGCAATCCGGAACACTTCTCATCTACCAGATGTTTTACATCGGCGTAACAACCAATAAATCCCGAAATGGTCATCAGTGTTTCGTCCTTTTGAATGCACCTCCCGAATTTTCTTCTTCCGAATAACGCTTCTTTTATTACGATTACTTCGTTATGAGAGCATTCAGGTTTAAACGTCTCGGAATTACAATATTCTTCTGCTGTGTTAGTTTAAAATTCCTCTCAATCAACTCATCAACAAGAATGAAACTTGTTAATTCCACTTACTTTTTCCAGTTCCATTACAACTTGTTACAAAAACTATGCAGATCAAAGTTCTCAAAATCATCTCCAAAAGTTATTTCAACAAATAAACGATACTAAATGAATAACGAATCCCATTTAGAAGCATTTTATTTATCATTTCAAGGGGTCATCTCAAATTAAAATAATTCCAACAACCTTTAAGACAACTGTAATGCACATCGAGGTAGAGTTTCAGGTATGAATGGCATAAAGTTTTAATTCTTAACTTTACAACTGACACTTCACAACGAGACTTTCCAGAACATTCTTGATCGATGATGTGTTTGACGTCCGTGTAGCAGTTTATGAAACTCGGATCTCTTAGGTTGTCATCGGACGGGGTTCCTTCATCTTCTTGCAGACACCTTCCGAATTTTTTGCGACCGAAGTCAGCTCGTTCGATGCCGATAACTTCATTGCTTCGACAAGTTGGTTTGAAATTTTCAAATATACAAAACTCCTCGGCTGAAAAAAAATTAGTTTCCTAGTTTTATTGAGGTGAAAAATAAAATACTGCTAGCAAGAAATACCTACCTGGAGTTCCGACAATGAAAAACGACAACAACGTTAACGTAACGCCGAACATTTTCTAATATTCAATCATCCAAATTCATGCTATGACAGAAATCAAAAGTATTTATATACCGACGCAAAATATATTTTGAAGGGTCGTCTCAAAACTTGACAAAAACATTACAAAACCTCTAGTGCAACTGTACTCAACATCCAAGTACAACTTTAGATACGTGTAGCAGGACGTTCGCACTCTTATTTTTGCCACAGATACTTCGCAGTGAGACCTGCCCGAACATTTTTCATCGATGATGTCCTTTACATCAGAAAAACAATTCAAAAATTGAGGGTTTTCTAAATTTTCTTTTGCAGGCGTTTCTTCATCCTCCTGCAAGCATCTTCCAAATTTTTTTCTGCCGAAGTGAGCATGCTTCACGATTATTATTTCGCTTGCTGGGCAGTTTGCTTTGAAGGTTTCAAAGTTGCAAAACTCTTTGGCTGCGATGATTAAGACCAAGATGTTATTAAACTCATACTTCTCTCAAATAAGAAAAAATAATTAGGATACCTTTGATAACAGCACACAAGCAAACTGCGGAAAACATCAGCCAACCGATCAGATTTAAAAACTCCATTTTCAATGAAAAATATTAACCCAAACACAAAGTTTATAAAGAAACTCGTCGAATGGTCGTCTCAAAAGTTGCAAAAAATTAAAAAATATACCTCTGATGCATTGGTAATCAACATCGAGATAATGTTTTAGGTAAGCGTAGCACGGGGTTTCAGTCTTAATAGTGGCTACTGGAATGTTACATTGCTGATTTCCAGCACACACTGGTTCGATCGTCTCCATGATATTAACGTAACAACCGATGAAACTCTCGTCTCTCAAGTTCGCTTCCTTGGGCTTGCCTTCTTCATACAAACACCTCCCCACGTTTATCCTACCGAACCAAGCTTTCTCGATTTTTATGACTTCGTTCTGATGACATTTTGGTTTGAAAGTTTCAAAGAAACAAAATTCTTCTGCAGGAATTTGATTCAACTAAAGTAATTAATCGAAATGAAATCAACGAAACGAACTTACTGCCTCCAACAACAACAACCATTGAGAAGATACAGTATATTAAAGACATTTTTACTTAATTTTAACCAAATCTTAATAGAACACGGAACAAAATAACAATGCTATTGGCTACTAATTTCCAGTTTTTAAATCTGCAGAAGAAGAGGGGTCGTTTCAAAAAAGGAAATTTTAAATTTCATTAACCTTTCGCACACGAGAACTTAACGTCAAGATAGTGCTTCAGATAGACGTGGCAAGGTGTGGATATTTTGATCTTACTAGTTGGCACCTCACAAGTTCGTCTGCCTGCACATCTGGGCTCAATAATCCACCTAACATCTGAGAAACAATCGACAAATTTCGGATTTTTAGAATTTTCCAGATCTCCTTGGAAGCCTTCCACAGACAGACATTTCTGCATCCTACCGAAGTTTGCTTCTTCTAAGACGATGATTTCGTTTGAGAGACACATCGGTTGGAATGATTCCGAGATACATTCCTCTAAAATTTTATTCTCAAATTTTATCAGCAGTTCAAGAATTTATATTTCAAGATAATGTAGCAAGATTTTCAAAGCTTACCTGCTCTTGCAACCCATGCAATGCACGTAAAAACGTACAAAAGTATTTCAAGCATTATAAAAAGTTTAATGAACAAGAATGAAAAACTAACTAAACAAATTGTACCTGATATATAAACACAAATATGAAGGGGTCGTCTCAAAATCGTCTCGAGATATTCTAAATAAAAAATTGAGAAGCACGAAACCTTCCTGGCATCTGTAGTGAACCTCAAGATAATGTTTCAACTGTTTCAGACACGTGGTTTGAACTTTCAACAGAGCAATCGACACTTCGCAACTCTGCCTGGCTGCACATTTTGGCTCTAAAATATGCCTAACATCAGCAAAACAGTTTATAAATCCAGGAGTTTTTAGAAAAATTTCATCAGGGTCTCCTTCATCTAAGAGACATTTACTCATACTTTTTCTGCCGTAGTAAGCCGAAGTAATGTAGATAATTTCGTTTTGGGAGCAGCTTGGATGGAAGAGTTCGTCATTACAGTATTCTTCTGCTTGTTTCGTAAAAAATTTTTAATCTTCCTATCGAATTTTTCATTTTTTGATATTTCAAATTTAAAAAATGCTCTAACCTGAAGCCGCAAAATGAAACCTGACTAACAAAACAGTTGAAAGTGATAACGCAATAGTAGTAGAGAACAACATTTCGCCAATAAAATGTAAGTCGTTTCAGTCGAGTAGGAATTTTTAACTTCTAATTTTCAGGGACTATCTCAAAACCAGTACAATAACAAACCTCTTAAGCAAACATACTCCACGTCCAGGTAGCGAATCAAATAACGGTGACACAGACTATCCACTTCTAGCTTCACCACACTCACTTCACAACTTTGCTTTCCAGAACAGTGTGCATCAACAACTGATCTGACATCGGCATAGCAGCCGATGAATTTCTTATCCATGTAGTTATTTTCACTCAGTGGTTCCTCGCTTTTCAAACACCTTCCAATCTGTCTGCGGCCAAAGAGAGCCTGTCTAACAACTATAATCTCGTTTGCTGAGCATTTTGGTTTGAAACTTTCCGAAATGCAAAATTCCTCTATAATGTTTTAAAAATTTTTCATAAATTTTAACCCGCACAAACACTCAAAAAGAACTTACCTCCGCCAACAGATGCAATCGAAAAAATAATCAACCATGGAATCAAACTTGGAAACATCGTGCGACTCCCAAAACTACTTTTTGAAAGAAAGTAACTTACTTGAAATTTATATTTACGAAAAAAAGGGTCGTGTCAAAAAGAAGAATCTCAAAATTTCTCAAATAATACAAGAACATAACACCGATAACAGACACAAAAAAATGTCCAACCGCTAGTCAAATGACCAACCGACCTTTCACGCACTTGTAGCTGACCTCCAAATATCTCATAAAGGAACGATGGCAAGGTGTTGAAGCGTCGACAGTAGCCACCAATACGTCACATTCAACCCTTCCAGAGCACAAAGGTTCAATGAGGTAGCCTACGTCCGTGTAGCATCCAATGAAACCAGAATTCTCTAGCAAACTTTCGATCAAATTCCCTTCTTGTTTTATGCATCTACCGACATTTCGACGTCCGTAAATGGATTCCTGGATTTGAATTATTTCGTTTGGCTGGCAGCGAGGTTTAAAGGATTCCGAGTTGCAATATTCTTCAGCTATTTTTCAATTTTTGAATGTTATTGTTACCGTTAAAATTGTTTTTATCATATTATATTATTATATAATGAATGCAATTATATTATTTATTGTCTGTTAAGGAAGAAAAATTAAGTAATAAACAAGCTACGAAAAGTTTGCTCAGATTAGATTGAAATTTTTCTAGAAGTTAGTGATTTATGATAGTTTTGCCATTTTTCAGTTTTGGAAGTAAAAAGATTTAATAGAATTTACTAGCAATAAAACAAGGTAACGAAACCTGATGTCAAATGGATGAGTCTTACTGAAATGAGAATCTTTACAAATATTCTGCACGACATAGTCTACTTATTTTAATTATTTAAAGCCGTATCGAGCAAATTGATTATCAAAAAATCGCTCATTAAACCGAACAAGCAAATGAAATGGGTTATAATTTACAACAAATATTTCATATAAATGTGTTTCAGACAGGGGTTTTTTCAAAAACGAGAACAACACATAATATACTAGATATTCATATATTTTTCTTTCTTTTTTTAATTATTCTTTATGAAAAAAATCCAACTCAGACATAAAAACTACATGAAAGTAATAAAAAAAAGTTAGAAACTCATGTATGTTTGTTGAATTAATTTGAAACAAATGAAAAAATGACTAAAAGATTGAGAGAAACGAGACGGAAATATTATGTGTCACTCAAACAAGAGCCAGTGTCTCTTTAGCAACCTCTTCCTGGTCCAAAACCTGATACCTCCCTTCATCCTTCGTAGTTTCATCATCTTCATGAGTGATACTGTCGTTGAAATTGGTAAAGTTAGGTTGCTGCAACTGTTGCTGCTGCTGTTGGAAGAGCATGGCTGGCTGGATGTTGGCTATAGGAGCTGGGTTGTTGTAGTAGTTTGGGAGATTTTTGTGTTGCCTTGCGCTACATCTGTATTCCATTTTAATTAATTAATTTATTAATTTATTAATTGGATGATTAATTTATTTAGTAATTAATTAAATTGAAATTTAAAAAACTAATAAAAACGGAGGTACAGGTGATTTTCAAACCTTCTCAAACATATGATTCCAAGGCAAAAAATAGTCGCGCAAGCCACAAATCCCAGTCCACAGATGAAGACAATTACCAGCACTAGGAAGAAAAACGTAGCAGTAGGAAATGAACTTGAGAAAGTAATTTGATTCGAATAAATTTGAGTTTACGACTCTTACTTGGTTGTTTCTTAAAAATATCTGTTTGGTTTTGAGAGGAAGGTTTTAATTTATCCCATTTTGTTTCACCTATAGAATATATATATTCGAATTTTTTTTTAATTGATAAAAAAAATTTTTATGTTCGAATTATCAAACTTGAAAATATATAAGAGTTGGAGCAGTTTCCAATGACGCCAGACCAGACGCGGTCCAAGCAGCGTAGGTACCATTTCTGTTTGGTCATGAAACATCCGATGATCATCTCATCTCCACTGCGTTGCATCCACGTGTCTTCCGGCTGAATTATGTCCCTGCATCCTACGGCTGTCAGTTCATTCATCGAATGTTTTCAGCTGGAAGAATTCTTTAAAAAGTTGCAAGTTTAATAACTGACCTTCAACTTTTATTAGGAGCATGTTGCTTTTGATGGCCTTATGGACCAAGCTGACGTAAATCAGATCGGAACTGGAGACAAATTCCTGTTTGACAAGGGAATCTTTGTCCCTAGCAAATCCATTGCTACAAATGTTCATGTAATCCTTGTTGAGGTATTTAATCGTGCCCAGGACTCTATCACACATCACTTCTTCTTCCTCCTCCTCACCTTCCTGCTTCTTCTTCTCGAGTTGATGGAGCAACTGGAGAGTCATTTTGATGTTCTGACCTCTGGGAGCTTCAATGCTGAATGACTTGCCGGCCGATGCACACCTGCTCCTGCTGGATATCTCAGACGCCTCCACGTACTTCACCTCGTTCGTCGCCGACATCTCGCAACCGTCGTCCAGCTGAACAACTGCATTTAATGGGGGTTTGATGGATGTTGAAAGTTTTTGAAGTCTGAATCTTTCATCAAAAATATTTTTTAGAACAAATTTTTAATCTAACCTTTCAGACATGAATACGTTACATTCAAATGCAATTCAAGTCCTGGAACGCAAACTCGTTCAACTACTTTCTGCAACTCTGCTATTCTCACATCACAACTATTTTTCATGTTACACCTTTTTTCTAAATTTGAGCTTACATCTTTGAAACAACCAAAAAATTTTGAATTGCTTCTCTGCGATCCATAGGCCTCCAACTCAGCCTCCGTTAAACACCTTCCAATGTTCATCCGTCCATAGTGAGCTTTCTTAATGAAGATCACTTCTCCGCTCTCACAGTGCGGTCTGAAAAATTCATCAGCACAATGTTCTTCATTTTGTTCGGATGCTTTATTTCACAAATTAAAAATTAAAGTTAACTATCTTAACATTTTTTGACTGAATTGTTCTACCTTACCTGAAATAACTTCATCTCCGGCAGATTTTGATATGAGTTGAAGGGTTATTAAAAGTATTGAAAGCATTGCCAAACTTATTCTCAAATGCATGTAAGAATTTTAGTATTTCAATAAAAACCCATTTGTACGAGCCAACTTATATATAGCTGTAGACTCATTGTTCAAAATTTAAGAAATAAATAATTCAGGGACCGTTTAGAGTGTTACGAAACAAAATCTACTATTTCTCTGAAAATATTTTGAAAAACATTTTTTGCGTTGACCAAACAAATAAATTCTAAGTTATAAAATACTGAAAGAAATATTTAAAATTCACCTTTCAAACAGTAGTAGGTAACGTTGAGATGCAGTTTCAAACCGGGAAGGCAGACGTCTTCAAAAAGCGTTTCCAGCTCGCCGATCCTCACATCACAGCTCTTTTTCATCGCACATTTCTCGTTCAGATAACTAGAAACATCTTTGAAACAACCAAAAAATTTGGGATTCGAACTTTGGGACCCGTAAGTGTGAATTTCTTTCTCCGTCAGACATCTACCAATGTTCATCCGACCATAGTGAGCAGTTTTAATGAAAACAACTTCATTTTGTGGACAGGTTGGATGAAAAAATTCGTTACTGCAATGTTCTTCTTCGAGTATATCAACTTTTGAATATTTTTTCATTTGTAATTTTGATCAATCAAATCATTCAATAAAATCATTTTATTATTTCAAATTCAACCAACCATTTAATCGCCCATCTTCGCAAAATGCTTGGGCACAAAAAAGAAGTAACAGATTAACGTTAAAAATAAAATTCATTTCAATTCTAATGAAACGTTATTTAATTAATTAACTAATTAAACTAATTAATTAATTAATAACTTTGAATTAATTCTAATTAAGCGATGAATCGTTTACATCAAACAGTCTCTAATGAACAGCGAAGATTTTATTTTAAACAGTTTATGCAGAAGCCAGGCAACCACTTCAGATGAAATCAAACGAGGGATCGTCCACAAATAACTAAAATCGATTTGAGACTAGAAGTTGGCATGAAAGCATTTAAAAAATTTAACTGACAGACAAATCCAATATAGGTTTACATAATTTAAAAATATCATTTCAATTCCTGATCAAAGAAGCACCAAAGTTTCCCTGGCGACCTCCTGTTGGTCGAGTACTTGATACCTTTCGTCTTCCTCTTTCAGATGTTGGCTGCCCTCATCCCCATCCTCCCCGATGTTGTTGTATTTGAGTTGAAGTTGTTGTTGTTGTTGTTGTTGTTGTAGGGACTGCATGTTTGTGTTGTATTGTTGCACGACTGGATTCATAAGATCAGGTTGGTGTTGATGGTGGAGACGCATGGTTTGTTGGACGTTGATGTTGTTGGGTGTCGAGTTGTAGTAGTTGGGCAGGTTCTTCCTCTGCTTCATGTTGCACCTGTGTTGTGGGTTGGTAGAAAAACTTAATGATGAAATGAACAAGAAAGATGGATGGGAAAATAGTTTCTTCGACCTTTTCAGGCAGATGATTCCCGCACATATGATCGTCACACAGGCCACCACTCCCATACCGCAGATCGATACGATGACCAGGACTGAAAATCATTCAAACGTCGTTCAAAATCTTACGCCAACTCAATGCAAATTGAACAAATCAACGCTTACGTTGCTGTTTCTTTGAGATGTCAGATTTGCTTTGTGGACCTGCTTTCATTTTGCTTGATGAGGTCTCGCCTTCATTCAAAAAATGATTTAAGATCATTGAATTGAAAAATGGTGGGTTTTAAAAATTTCTAACTTGAGTGGGGCAGAGAGTTGGAGCAGTTCCCAATGACGCCAGACCAGACGCGGTCCAAGCAGCGTAGGTACCATTTCTGTTTGGTCATGAAACATCCGATGATCATCTCATCTCCACTGCGTTGCATCCACGTGTCTTCCGGCTGAATTATGTCCCTGCATCCTACGGCTGTCAGTTCAATTTTTGAGATTAATATTTTAATAACCAGATGAATTGGGGCTAACCTTCTATTTTGATTAAAAACATGTTGTTCTTTGATATCTTTTGAATGAAATTAACATAAATCAGGTCGGAACTGGAGACAAATTCCTGTTTGACAAGGGAATCTTTGTCCCTAGCAAATCCATTGCTACAAATGTTCATGTAATCCTTGTTGAGGTATTTAATCGTGCCCAGGACTCTATCACACATCACTTCCTCCTCCTCACCCTCCTGCTTCTTCTTCTCGAGTTGATGGAGCAACTGAAGAGTCATTTTGATGTTCTGACCTCTGGGAGCTTCAATGCTGAATGACTTGCCGGCCGATGCACACCTGCTCCTGCTGGATATCTCAGACGCCTCCACGTACTTCACCTCGTTCGACGCCGACATCTCGCAACCGTCGTCCAGCTGAACAACTGAAGTTTTTGTTGTTGGTTATTCAAAATTTTTGTTATCACAACGCAATTAGTTGAAAGTTTAATTTTTATAAACAAATAAAAACAAGCAATTAGGCCAAACCTTTCAGACATGAGTACCTTATCTTAAGATGCAATTCAAGTCCTGGTCCACAAATTCCTTCAACTATTTTATCTAATTCTTTTATTCTCACGTCACAACTATTTTTTAGACTACACTTTTCGTCTAAATATAAACTTACATCCTTGTAGCAGCCGAAAAATTTCGGGTTGTTCCTTTGCGAGCCAAAGACTTCTAATCCAGCTTCCGACAAACATCTTCCAATGTTCATCCGTCCATAATGAGCTTTCTTAATGAAGATCACTTCTCCGTTCTCACAAACCGGTCTAAAAAATTCGCCGTTACAATATTCTTCACTTCGTTCTGAGGCTTTAAATTCTATTAAAAGTTGAATCATTCTATTTTATAATTTTCTCTAATCTACTTGTTTTTAATTCTTACCTGACTCATCTTGGAGTCCAAAGCTTTTTGAGATCAGTTGAACGACGATCAGATATATCAGTAACATTTCAGCTTAAATCTTTTTACAGTGATTTTTTAAATTTTAGCTTTATTTAATGACTGAATGCTAGGCACTTTATGTAATTTTTTTTCCAATTACAAGTCTTAGTATTTATAATCAAACAACTCAGGGACCATCTACAATTTGATAAGTTGTAATTTCTAACGAGAAATTTTTGATTTATTCATCATTTTAAGAAATGAATCAGACTAACTTTTCAAACAGGAATAAGCAACATTCAGATGCAGTCTCAACCCAGGATGACATAGACCATTGGCGAACTTATCCAAATCGGTAATCCTCAGGTCACATCTGTTCTTCATGGAACATACTTCAGATAAAAACGCTGTCACATCTTTCTTACATCCGTAAAATTTGGGATTAGTTTTTTGAGAGCCGTAGGCTTCTAACTCAGATTCGGTTAAACATTTTCCAATGTTCATCCTGCCGTACAAGGCTTTCTTGATTACTACAACCTCTCCGTGTTGGCAAGTTGGAGCGAACAGTTCGCCATTACAATGTTCTTCATTTTGTTCGCTATCTAGGTTTGTGTTTCGAATGTTTAATGAAATTTTCATATTTCATGCATAAATATTTGAAAATTTAATGAAGATTTCATGGAATAAATTTTTTTACCTTGTTCAATGTTCGAAGTTGAAGTAAAACTTGCGCGTACGAATGCAGTGATCACAAAACTCAGAACCAAACGATGAACATATCTCAAACAAAACATTCTAACGACAAATTTTAAGATTTTATTGAATGTTTCACAAAATATGCATCCACATAACAAACAGTTCAGTTAAATAAAAATTGTTACATTTATTGGCGGCATAGCACAACAGAGCTTGTAATAAGGTCGGGGACCAGCTACAAAATAAGTAATCAGAATTATGATTGATTTGTGGTGGAATCAATGTGTATTGCAAATTTATGACACTATTTGTTCATTTTCAAGAATAAAATATTTGTTCTCGTCAGCTGCGTTGTGGTTTTCATTTGTGGCTGATGTGGTAACTTCAACCTGATTTTCGCTGTTGTTCAGTGGCTGGTCGTTGAGGTAGTAAGTAGGTTGTTGTTTGTTGTACACGCCAGCAGCTGTCGGTGGCTTCTTGGTTGAGTACTTCCTCATGCAGACTGCTCCAATGCAAATTATCAACGAACAAAATACTACACCGACTCCGCTTATTAAGACCATCATCAGAACTTCAAAGAAAAAACATAATTTTGTAAAGTTTTGAAATTTTGAAAAAAATATTCATGATGTATTTTACTAACTTTGGGACTCTATATCAGAATCTTCACTGAATTCTTTAGCGGACGAAACGGCATCAGGCAGTTGCGTTTCTGAACGATTGTTGAACGTATAGCGAGTGAAATTGTTTAATATTTGAAGTTGAAGAAACCTGAGGAGCAGTTCCCAATGACGCCAGACCAGACGCGGTCCAAGCAGCGTAGGTACCATTTCTGTTTGGTCATGAAACATCCGATGATCATCTCATCTCCACTGCGTTGCATCCACGTGTCTTCCGGCTGAATTATGTCCCTGCATCCTACGGCTGTCAGTTCATTCATCGAATGTTTTCAGCTGGAAGAATTCTTTAAAAAGTTGCAAGTTTAATAACTGACCTTCAACTTTTATTAGGAGCATGTTGCTTTTGATGGCCTTATGGACCAAGCTGACGTAAATCAGATCGGAACTGGAGACAAATTCCTGTTTGACAAGGGAATCTTTGTCCCTAGCAAATCCATTGCTACAAATGTTCATGTAATCCTTGTTGAGGTATTTAATCGTGCCCAGGACTCTATCGCACATCACTTCTTCTTCCTCCTCCTCACCCTCCTGCTTCTTCTTCTCGAGTTGATGGAGCAACTGGAGAGTCATTTTGATGTTCTGACCTCTGGGGGCTTCAATGCTGAATGACTTGCCGGCCGATGCACACCTGCTCCTGCTGGATATCTCAGACGCCTCCACGTACTTCACCTCGTTCGTCGCCGACATCTCGCAACCGTCGTCCAGCTGAACAACTGCATTTAAAGAGAGTTTTTATATTAAAAAATTGTCATATGAACATCATCATGTAACATTTAATATTAATAAATTGACAAATTTTTCAATTTCTGAACTATCAGAATAGACGGATCCAACCTTTCAAACACGAATACGTAACGTTCAGATGCAACTTCAGTCCGGGCCCACAGACGTCCCCCACTATCTTTTCCAACTCTGTTATTTTTATGTCACAACCACTTTTCATGTTACATTTTTCTCCCAGAGGGAAGCTCACATCTTTGAAACAACCAAAAAATTTCGGGTTATTTTTTATTCCATAAGCTTCCAACTCAGCCTCCGTTAAACATCTTCCAATGTTCATCCGTCCGTAATGAGCTTTCCTAATGAACATCACTTCTCCGCTCTCACAGTGTGGTTTAAAAATTTCGCCGATGCAATGTTCTTCATTTCGTTCGGATGCTTCATTTCAAAATCAGAATTTAACATAAATCACATGACTTTTTAGATTTCTAGGTATAATTTTTGAAATTTAACCTGCGATATCTTTTGCCACAATTACTCGAACGATGATTATCAAGGCCAAAATCATTTTTTAGTTCCACTCGTTCCACACAGAACTTTATTAAAAATATAAAATCACCTACATAAGAATTTTCACTTTTGAACATCGTTTTACCTCCCAAGTTATACAAATATCTAAGCACTCAGGGATCGTCTACAAATTATAGAAACTTGTTTGCAGTCAGTTTAATTTTTTGAAAAGAGCTTTTCAATCGAATTCTTGGTCTGGAAATCCACTTTTTTTATTTAATTGTTATTTGATCGTTGTAACATTTGGCATTTCAAACTATATATTTTTTTACATATAACTCATATACTAGACACAATTTCAATACAAGCAACATCGAAATGTTAAAAAAATTTTGCTATTATGAAAAAATTCCTACTTTTCAAGCAGGAGTATGCGATGTTCAAATGAAGTTTTAGTCCAGGGCCACAAACACCTTCAGCTAAATTTTCTAATTCGCTAATTCTCACATCACAACTATTTTTCATTGAACATTCCTTATTCATGAGCTCTTTAACATCTTTGTAACACCCGAAAAATTTGGGATTGTTCTTATTTGATCCGTAGGCATCCAGTTCAGTTTCGGTCAGACACCTACCCACATTCATTCTGCCGTATTGAGCCTTCTGAATCAATAAAACCTCACCAGGGCCGCATGTTGGCCTAAAAAACTCCTTGTTGCAGTATTCCTCATTCCGAGTTTGTACTTTATTACATGAAACATTATTGTCCAGCTGCCAGACATTGACAACCATCTGAAAAGCTATCAGCAAATATCTGTTCATCGTTTAAACTTTAATTATTCTAGTTATGTGGTTTCCACCCAATAAATTGAAAGAAATTTTGCTGCGGTTCTAGTTTTTATAAAAGACATGCAATAGTAAACGCTTGCAAAACATCAAATCGAAAAATGGTAAACAGTCAATTTTATATGGCACTCGTTCGGGGATCATCTAAAATTTAAAAAATCAAATTTTTTTCAATCTCATCCTACACATGACTGCAAGAATCAAACATGTTTTTGATAAACTCAACATAACTATTATTTATTTTCAACAAAAAATGTTTGTTCTTATAAACTGTGTTGTTGTCATTAGGGGCTGTGGTAGTAGCTTTAGTAGTCTCAACTATGTTGTCGTTGCTGAATGGTTGTTTGGCTAGTTGCTAGTGTAGTAGTTGGTGTTGGGATTTTTGATGGAATACTTGTTCATAATCCAACTCAGTTAACCATTAACTCTGTTTATTAGGACCATCAAAATTATTAGATTATCTGAAATAATATTGGATTTTATATATTTTTAAATAAATTAGCAAGTGAATGGTTGTTAGCTCCCAGTTCTTCATCATTTTCATGGCTCGCCTGGCTCTGCAATTCAACAACTCCATCGCCCTCTGAAGATTAATTTTTATTTTTGAAATTTTTTTTTAGACTCGAAATATGACACATAATAAAAAATAGACAAGAATAAATAATAATAATAATAATAATAATTATTATTATTATTATGATATCACTATCAGTACCTAAAGGGCCACCTCATTAACAAATCATTCATAATTAGTTATTTCCTATTGTAAGAGGCAAAATATAACCTCTCAAATTAATTACCCTATGGCAAATTTTTATAAGTTTTTCTAATTAGCACATTAGTGTACCTGCTTTCTCTCTCTCTTTCTCACTCTCTTACTCTTTCTTTCTTTCTCTCCATCTCTATTTGTTTCGCTCCTTCTCTCTCTATGTCTTCATCTCTCTATTTCGGTTTGTATTTCACATTTTTCTTTTCTACCTCACCCTTTCTTTCTCTATCTCTCTATTATTTTTATTATTAGTATTATTCGTCTTCATCTTCATCATCATCAACCTCAACATCGTCACCACCATCATCATTAGTTTTCGATTGGTTGTAATGAAGCTAGCCAGAGCTTATTCTAATACCTCTCTATAGCTTATAGGGACCAACTAATTGAACAATTAACTTAACTGATAACATTTGTATATGTAACTATTTCATGTTATATTACGTCTGTGTGTGTGTGTGCGTGTGTGTGCGCGTGTGGTGTGTGTGTGTGTATTAACTTCCTTATATTAGCGTGTAAATTTACACGTATTAAAAACAGTATGAAAATAAAATTTACCTAGGTATAAAAAATGTACTATAAAATTTAGAAACAATGCTATCTGTGCTGCTGTCATGATGTTGATGCTATTATTATTGATGTCATTTAGTGTCACTGTTAATGTCACAGAAGCTGGTAACGGTTAGAAACACACACACACACACACACAAACACAAACACACACACACAAACACACACACAAACACATCTACAGAATATTATTTAACATACATCATTTTTATTGCTCGCAAATAGTTATATACTAAAGACTAGAACTACTGATGTGTTTACTTCCATCATCAAAACGATAATATTTTCAAATAAAAATTTACTGAATTGTAAATTTAAAAAAATAAACTCCCAGATCTTTTCAAAGGGGATATTTGTAGCGGCGACAGATTATTACCGACATGCGGTGACAACAACGACAACATACTACTGCTACAAAAAGCCAACCTGGGTCAGAAATTTTTTTGATTTCTTGAATACAAACGCACGCACACACACACACACACACGCACACACACACACACCTTTATTTTTTAAAATTTACTCATTCCAGGTCTCATTACTAAGACTAGTCAGTGCTTCGAGAGTTCCACACAAAATTTTCCAACAAGAATCCGACCTCCAGACGTCTGTGCCACAGACATCTTGGATAAGTTATACAAACACGTATCTACTAGTAGATACGAGCAGATGGTTGTGGGCAGACAGATGCTGGCAAATTTGACTTCCAATTGTGACGACAAAATTGACGAGTACCTAGAGCTCGAGTATGATTGCGTGAAGGGTAAGGATTTGGAGGCTGCGTATGTGTGTGCGTGTTTCTATATTTTTTTTTCGGTAGGTTTTATATAAACTATATTTAGGATTTAGAGGATTGAAATGTTGTATTTCTAGCTTGTCCATGTTTGTTTTGGATTGAGTTTTGTATGTCAGATGTACAGTTTTTTTAATTTCTGTCGGAATTTTTAAAAATTATTTGATAAAACATCGTCTGAGAACGATAATTAATTCTACTTCATTGTAAAACGTTTTAAAAACATTTATTTTCCTTTAAATATCAACACATCCACACACACAAACACACACGCACGAACACACGCACACACAAATTTCAAGCAAACCAACCGACACCCAACCACTTTTCAGAATTACCCTTGACATCGTGTGATAGAGTTCTAGATCTCTCCTCAGAGCGAAGAACACTAATCAACTTAACAAAGCTGTACGACAGCTTCGACCTGGACTGTATCAGAGAGTCGTCCACGATCGATTTAAAGCTCCCAAACGACACGTTGCTTCATTTGAAGGCGAAACTCTGGAACTATGAGGATTTGAGAAATTCAAAACATTTAAAACTACAAATAGTTGACGAATTTAAGAATGACAAGAATGATTTTGACGTAGCCAGCAGGACTGTGAAGCTATTCGATCGAACCACAAATGGTATAAAAATTATCATTGCAGATGATGGAATTCCCGAATTCCAGTTGATCGAGTTCAACGGTTTGATTCTACAGTTCATTTCGTTAGTTGATGCAATAAAAAAATTTTTTTTTTTTTTAAATTAGTCCTAGGCTGCCTAGACCTGAGACCACCGAAACTTGGCACTGTTAACGCCATAGACAAGCAAAAAAGCAAAGTCATCATTTCGTGTTCTAGCGACCTTTACGATAACAACACCATTCTGTATGCAAATGGTCAGATGAAGTTCGAACATTTGATGGAAAGAAATTTGAGAGGGTGGTTGTTGGAGTGTGACGAAAAAAGTGGAGTCTGGATTGGTTCTTTTGGCAACTGCACGAATAGAGAAGGTAATAGGATGCAAAAATTTAGACACACACATACAAACACATGTACACACTTGTATGCAGTATACACATTATTTATTCATTCATTCTTTCGTTCATTCATTTATTCATCCATTTTTTGTTTCATTCATTCATCATTCATTTATCAATTCACTCATTTATAGTTTTTTAAAATCCAATTTACAGAAAGGGTTTCATCAGCACGGCACAGTCAGGGTTACAAATAATTAATCAATCTAAAAAATGAAATAAACTATATTTTTATTTTTTTTTACAAATAAATTTAATTAATGTGTATATATAATTATATAAATGATTTTCGGTTAATATATATATATATATATATATATATATATATATATATATATATTAAATTATATATGTGTTAAATACTGTCATGCTAACAGTTATGACAACTTGCATCGTCATCAGCGTCATCATCATCGTCGTCCTGGCACTCTGCTGTGTCATGTTCAACTACATTAAAAGGTTTCTAGCGCTATTTTTAGATTAGAATTTGTAATTATTTTTGTAGTATTAATAAATCGTATAAATAATAATAATAATCGTAATTAATTATAATAATAATTTTGAATAATGGACCTGAATGATTCAACAAATCTGATTTCAAATAATTAGAACATGATCCACATTTATATAAAAAAAATTAATTCGTAACAAAAATGGTTTCTTCTAATTTTTTGTAACATTTTTTTTGCATCACGACCAGAAAACATCTCCAACGTTCCCGAGAGAGTCAGGCCAAAGAGGCAGCAGATGAAATTTATGATTCCTACGGCGAGTTCTGTTTCCAACATCCTCCCAGGATTTTCGAAGATCGGGAACTGGATCCCAGCGAGATTGAACGACCTCCTATACCGACACAAGTTGATCCTGTCGAGCCAGTTCAGCGAACTGCCACACAAGCGCAATATCAATCGACAAACTTTCTCGTAAAAAATATAAACTCGCAGCCGTTGGAAGTAAATTTAACAAATCCTCTTCCGAAACCGAAGTCGTTGAATGATTTGTTGGAGCCACTGGGTGACTGCTCACAATATTCAGGTGTGGTTCGTCATGACTGTGGCTGTGTGACGCTACAGAAGGGGCACCAGCATCCACATCAGCATCCACACCAACATCCACACCAGCATCCACCCCAACATCAGCACCCACATCCCGATCCTCCTCTTCATGCCCATCCTCAAACTTACTCCCACCCGTTGTCTCCTATAAACTTCACCTACCAAGATTCACCGATCCCTCCAACTGGCTACCATCATCCTCAACCGGAATTTTTCTCCAAGACCCTTCAAAACCCTCGAAAGCACAGCACCCCATCGAAAACTCACAAGCAAATTAGTATGAACAACGTTGAATCGTACGGACTCAGTCCCATTCCAGGACCAAATCATTTCAATTTTATGACCATTCAAGCAAATCGCTTCCAAAAACCGATGCTTCAAAATATCAATTTTTATCCGGAACACTTTGAAGGAACCCCACCTGTAGTAAACTACCCACTACAGAGTCTGCCATTCTCGCCATCACATCACCATCATCATCCTCTTCCTCACCATCATGGCGCCTACTTTCTTCCTTATCATCACCCACAACGAATGCAGTTCAGCCATCAGCATTCTCGCTCCAAGGCAGCACACGGTTCCACGAATATCGATTCGAGATCGGTCGGTTTGTATTCGACGGATAATATGATAAAGGAACACGAGACAGAGAGCAGTTTGGAAAATGGTAACGCCGAACCGGGAGCTGAGGTGGTTCACTCGTTCTCCAACGAAGCTTGCACCTCCGAATGATGTTCATCGTTTAAGAATTTGAGATCGCTATCAAGTCTCGAAACGTCTATTCACATTTTGATGAACGTCTGGAGATTTTGTTCCCAGATGAAATTATTAAAAATTAATTTAATTTTTTATTGAAAGATACGTTATTAATTAAGTGTCAAAAAATTTGTGTCACATTCTTAAGAATTTTATTGAAACATTTGTTTTGTTTGTTTAGAAGAAGCTTCAAATAAATTTTCTACTTTTGTAAACGGCCCCTTGAATATCATCTATCTGCCCTTATGCACATTCCTTTATTTGCCTTTAAATACATACATGTTTGCAGCAATTTTTATTTGAATTTGTAGACATTTTATCTATTTCTTCAAACAATTTTACGAATTTTAACATTTGAAAATGATCTTTCTCTTAACTCTGCTAACATTATGTCTCACATTTGCACTACCAACGTTGTTGTCACAGGCCAAATCGACAAGTTAAGATTTAAATTCGTTCCTCTCATTTCAATATTTTATCATTCATTTTAAAAATTTCAAAGTTTTTTACTTGAGATATAATAGAACAAAATGTTAACAATAAATTTTTTATCTCCAAAAGTCGTAACTGAGGAGGTGTGCCAGTTTGACGAGTTCTTAGCTCACTGCTCGAACGGACAGAAAATATTCATCAGGAACGCTACCTACGGACGAATGAAAATAAATAAATGCATTACAAAAGAAGAAATAGAAGCATTCGGAAGGTTAGGGAGCGATCCCAAATATCTGGGATGCCATTGGGATGCATCCACCTTACTTAGAGAGCAGTGTTTACTGAAAGATAATTGCAGGTTGAAGATTTCTGAAATAAAATTGACGACTGGCTGTTCTCCAGGGCTTAATAATTACTTGGAAGTAAATTATGAATGTTTGGAAGGTAAACTGTGTTTTTTAATTTAAATTTATAAAAGATTTTCCAAATATAATTTAATTTTTTAACAATTTTTCTCATTAAGTTGCGGATAGCAGCAACCCAACGTGTTATGTCACAGCAAAGCAAGAGCCAAGTTACTTAGTTGTAACTGGTGACACTCAAAATAAGAATCTTGTTCATTTTCAGAGTAAAGTTTGCGGAACTTCGTCAAGACCGTGGATAATTGAGGCTTTGAACGGACAAAAAATTGTCATCACACAGTCTAAAATTAATTCAGGTTTGAAACAACCTTCAGAACTTAATAATCTCCAAGTTTCGAAAGCTGAAAATTGTAGAAATGTGTTGGGAAAAATCAAAAACCTGAAAACTAAAGAAGTGACATCAATCTGTCGAGATAGATTCTACAACGACCCTGATGAAGTAACTCTCACTGATTCCTACCATGCAATTCTCGAACTTACCACATCCCAATCGAAATCACCAGAGCTCTCATCCAGTCACGCCGAACTTGATTTGATAAAAATCCAAGGTTAATCTTTTTTACAAGGAATAAAATTTTTCAAACATTTAACCAAACTAAAAAAAACTGTTTTATCCAATTCTTAAACACATTACAAAACAAAAAATAAACAAACCTACAATTTTTTCCAGTTCTCAAAACAGATTTCACTACAAAAATTAACGAACTTAAAAAATGTTCCCAAATCCCCACAAAAGCTGATGGATGTAGGGACATAATTCAGCCGGAAGACACTTGGATGCAACGCAATGGAGATGAGATGATCATCGGATGTTTCATGACCAAACAGAAATGGTACCTACTCTGCTTGGACCGCGTCTGGTCTGGCGTCATTGGAAACTGCTCCATATACAGTAAGAAAATACACAAAATCCTAATAACCTTTTTTTTACATTTTTTATGTTCATTCTTCAAAACACCAGACTCTAACAATCGCAGAATCCTATTTTAATATACAAATGTAAGTAAACAGCAGCCATGCTTCCTTTAATAATGAAATCGTAAAATGTTAAACATGTCAGATGTGAACAAGTTAAGAAATGCACAAGAACTAGCAGTTGATAGATCCGCAAATAATGAACAAGAGAGTAAGTTGAATAGTTTTTTTCCAAATTTTATAAAGTTATCATTGTATTATTATAATTATATTATATTATAATAATGATAAAATAAATATAATAAAAAAAAATCTTTTTTTTTATTTAATTTACAGTCTTGTTGATGGTCCTAATAAGCGGGTTTGGTATAGTGTTGTGCTTCTTAATAATTTGCATCGGAGCTGTCTGTATTAGAAAATATACAATCAAGAAACTTCCAACGACAACTTCAAATTTATACAACAAACCACAACAACCTGCTTACTATCTCAACGAGCAGCCACTCGTCAACCTCGACCACAATTTGGTTGAAGTTACTACTGCAGCTACAACTACAAATGGAAATAATAGCGCCCCTGATGAAAATAAATACTTTGTTCTCGAGAATGAATGAATGGATTTGTGAATTATTATCAACCTAATCTAGAATTTTTTTTTTCAAAATTTGAGACGACCCCTGACTTAATTCTTTTTATAATGGGAAAATTGATCGGTACGATATTTTATACTTTTACATTTTCTACACGTATCAGTGCTCGAATTTGTACCAAAAAATTTCTTTAAAAATACGTGTTGATATTGAAAAAAATTAATTAAAATCATGAATGCGTTGATTTTGATGTCAGCAGTGTTGCTTGGGTGTTTGCATGGCAAGCATGCCGCTTCAGGTAGATCCAAAAACTGTTTTCCCAAATATTACAAACTTAAATATTTAAACTTTAAAATATTATTTTAAAAAATAAATTTTTAAAACAAGTACAAACCCGGAATGAGGAATACTGCAACAAGGAGTTTTTCAGACCGACATGCGGCCCTGGAGAGGTTTTGTTGATCCAGAAGGCTCACTACGGCAGGATGAATGTGGGTAGGTGTCTGACTGAAACTGAACTGAACGCCTACGGATCTATTAGGGACAGTCCAAACTTTTTTGGTTGCTACAAAGATGTCCGAGAATTCTTCGCCAGAGAATGTTCCATGAGAAATGGTTGCGATGTGAAAATAACCGAGTTGGAAAATTTATCTGAAGGTGTTTGTGGCCCTGGATTGAAACTTCATTTGAACATAACATACTCTTGTTTGAAAAGTAAGAGCTTTTTAAGAATTATCTCTAATGTGTTGAAACGTTTTGTCATAAATAACAATCAAAATCTTATTATTCAAACCAATTTGTATATAAGATGTACAAGAGAAACGCTCGATGGACTAACTTTGAAATAAAATATAAAAAAAACTTCTTCACAAATTAGCAAATTCATCCAAAGAATAACAACATAAAAGCAGGGGCGTTTTTTGAACAAAAGTTTTTCAAATTGTTAGACGACCCCTTTGCGTGCATGTTTTAAAGCTTAGATGTGATGTTTCAGTGCGAAAATTCTCACGTAAGTGTTTTAATTCCTTTGAGTTATCAACAATTTTACAAAATCAGATCGGAGTGGAAATGTTTTTCGTGTTTATAATAGCAATCATTTCACTTGTCTTGGTAGAAGATATTGCAGGTAAAAATTAGAAAAATTATTCCAAAAGAACTGAACATAAATTGACTGAAATTAAACTCTGATTTTAAAATGAAGTGTTAGGGCTGAATGGAGAATACTGCATCGGCGAAATTTTTAAACCGCACTGTGAGAGAGGAGAAGTGATCTTCATTAGGAAAGCCCATTATGGACGGATGAACATTGGAAGGTGTTTAACGGAGGCTGAGTTGGAAGCTTATGGATCAAACAGGAACAACCCGAAATTTTTCGGTTGTTTCAAAGATGTGCACTCGTATGTAGCTGAAAAATGTAGCATGAAAAGTAACTACGACGTGACAGTAGCCGAGTTGCAAAAAAAATTTGAAGGGGTCTGCGGACCTGGCCTGAACATGCATCTCAATGTTACTTATTCGTGTCTCAAAGGTTCGATCAAAATTAACATTTTTTATCGAAACGTTACTTGGAAGAGTTGATATTTCTAATTTATTTAAAGTTTAATACACATTTTTAAAATATAAAACCCCCATTAAATGCAGTTGTTCAGCTGGACGACGATTGCGAGATGTCGGCGTCGAACGAGGTGAAGTACGTGGAGGCGTCTGAGATATCCAGCAGGAGCAGGTGTGCATCGGCCGGCAAGTCATTCAGCATAGAAGCCCCCAGAGGTCAGAACATCAAAATGACTCTCCAGTTGCTCCATCAACTCGAGAAGAAGAAGCAGGAGGGTGAGGAGGAGGAAGAAGAAGTGATGTGCGATAGAGTCCTGGGCACGATTAAATACCTCAACAAGGATTACATGAACATTTGTAGCAATGGATTTGCTAGGGACAAAGATTCCCTTGTCAAACAGGAATTTGTCTCCAGTTCCGACCTGATTTATGTTAATTTCATTCAAAAGATATCAAAGAACAACATTTTTCTGATCAAAATAGAAGGTTAGCCCAATTCATCTGGTTATAAAAATATTAATCTCAAAAAATTGAACTGACAGCCGTAGGATGCAGGGACATAATTCAGCCGGAAGACACGTGGATGCAACGCAGTGGAGATGAGATGATCATCGGATGTTTCATGACCAAACAGAAATGGTACCTACGCTGCTTGGACCGCGTCTGGTCTGGCGTCATTGGGAACTGCTCCAACTCTCTGCCCCACTCAAGTTAGAAATTTTTAAAACCCACCATTTTTCAATTCAATGATCTTAAACCACTTTTTGAATGAAGGCGAGACCTCATCAAGCAAAATGAAAGCAGGTCCACAAAGCAAATCTGACATCTCAAAGAAACAGCAACGTAAGCGTTGATTTGTTCAATTTGCATTGAGTTGGCGTAAGATTTTGAACGACGTTTGAATGATTTTCAGTCCTGGTCATCGTATCGATCTGCGGTATGGGAGTGGTGGCCTGTGTGACGATCATATGTGCGGGAATCATCTGCCTGAAAAGGTCGAAGAAACTATTTTCCCATCCATCTTTCTTGTTCATTTCATCATTAAGTTTTTCTACCAACCCACAACACAGGTGCAACATGAAGCAGAGGAAGAACCTGCCCAACTACTACAAGTCGACACCCAACAACAACAACGTCCAACAAACCATGCGTCTCCACCATCAACACCAACCTGATCTTATGAATCCAGTCTTGCAACAATACAACACAAACATGCAGTCCCTACAACAACAACAACAACAACAACAACTTCAACCTCAAATCAAATACAACAACATCAGAGAGGATGGGGATGAGGGCAGCCAACATCTGAAAGAGGAAGACGAAAGGTATCAAGTACTCGACCAACAGGAGGTCGCCAGGGAAACTTTGGTGCTTCTTTGATCATGAGATGGCGATTGATACAATGATTTGATTAATTGTTAATATTTTTGAACAATTTTTCAAAATTTTCATTATTTTTATGAGAAATCCTTTCTTCCTTTCGTTAAGTTTTAGGAATTTAATGATTTATTTATTTTATAAACGACCCCTTACGCACTTTTTATTTAAAGTTGCGATTTTTCAAGAAAATGTTTTGACAATCTGCGTCGATTAAATAATTCGATGTTTTTTGGCGTAAATTTTTTATTTCAACATGAACGAAATATATTTGGTTAATTTTGTTATTTTCATCTGTCTCTTTTTAAAGCAAAGTTTTTGCGAAAATAATCGTTTAAACGGTAAGCTTCATACCATGTATTCATTCATATGAAAAGTTAAAAAAGATTTTTTAAAATATTTTCAAAGTTGATCTTCGCGATGAGGAGCACTGCATCGGCGAATTTTTCAATCCAACTTGTCCACAAAGTGAAGTCCTCGTCATCCGAAGAGCTAACTATGGTCGGATGAATATTGGCAGGTGTCTAACAGAGAAAGCCATGGAAGCTTACGGTTCACAGAATTCAAATCCAAAATTTTTTGGATGTTTCAAAGATGTTTCAAGTTATCTGAATAAAAAATGTGCCATGAAAAACAGTTGTGAGGTGAAAATCATTGAGCTGGAAACTCTTAACGACGACGTCTGCTTCCCTGGCCTCAAGTTGCATCTGAACGTAACTTACACTTGCTTGAAAGGTTACTTTCATAAAATAAAAAACAGATTTTGCCTAAAAAACAAACTTTTTAATTGCTTATGTCTCGCATAATTAAATAATTAATTATTTCAAATTTCTCTCCAAACAAAACTTCGTTTCGATTTTTCCAAATTTTAAACGACCCCTGAGTAGTTCAGTATTCACATACTGGGCAAGTGTTCTACATATATGTATTATATATTATATCTTCAAAGAGACGCTAATAAGTTGTTTCTAAATAGAGAAATTTAGGTTTCATTTCACTATTGAGAATTTAATAAGTTTCATGATGTTGTACATACTTGTAATTATCATTCAACTGATACCAAGATGTGTTGGACGTGAAGACTTTTCAGGTAAGATATAATAAATGTTCAGTCAGAAAAATGTAAAGATAGTTAACCTAGACATTTAATTTTTAAAATAAAGCATCGGAACAAAACGAGGAATATTGTTCTGCCGAAATTTTCAGACCAACTTGTGAGAGCGGAGAAGTGATTGTCGTCAAGAAAGCTCATTACGGACGGATGAACATTGGACGATGTTTGACGGAAGCTGCATTGGAAGCCTATGGCTCCCATAGAAACAATCAAAACTTTTTCGGTTGTTACAAGGATGTAAGTTCATATCTAATTGACAAATGTAGTATGAAAAGTAGTTGTGATGTGAGGATAACCGAGTTGGAAAAGATGGCTGAAGGCGTTTGTGTACCTGGACTGAAGTTGCATCTCAATGTTACCTACCATTGTTTGAAAGGTAAATTTCAACAATTTCAGTTACTATTTTTCTGAATAGAAAATTTTTTTATTCAAGCGACGATCATTTTCAAAATTTTCCAATATCAACAGTAGATTCGTTTTATGAAAATTCTAAACGGTCCCTGAGCAATTTATTTTTCAAGTATTGAACGATGAGACTACAATTATATATATATAATAGCTCTTATAAGTGGTTTAGTGTTGGAAAACTGAGATTTTTACAAGAATTCGAGAATAAGTTTAACAATGCTTCTTATATTTTTAACAATCGTTCAACTGACATCAAAGACTGCTGGACATGAAACAATTTCAGGTGAGGTAAAAAATTCAGTCAAAATCATGAAAATATTCAAACGTAATAATTTGTTTATGAACTGAAGCTTCAGAACAAAATGAAGAGCTTTGCATCGGTGAAGTATTTAAACCAACTTGTGAGAACGGAGAAGTAATTGTTGTTAAGAGAGCTCAATACGGGCGAATGAACATTGGAAGATGTTTGACGGAGACTGAGTTGGAAGCCTATGGGTCGCAGAGGAACAATCCACAATTTTACGGTTGTTCCAAAGACGTAAGTTCATATATAATGGAAAAATGTAGTATGAAAAAGAGTTGTGAAGTGAGGATTGTAGAGTTGCAGAAAGTAGTTGAACGAGTTTGCGGTCCAGGACTTGAATTGCATTTAAATGTAACGTATTCATGTCTGAAAGGTTAGATTAAAAATTTGTTTTTAAAATAATTTAATTTTTGTAGATTCAAACTACAAAACTTTCAACATCTATCAAACTTTCAACATCCATCAAACCCCTATTAAATGCAGTTGTTCAGCTGGACGACGGTTGCGAGATGTCGGCGACGAACGAGGTGAAGTACGTGGAGGCGTCTGAGATATCCAGCAGGAGCAGGTGTGCATCGGCCGGCAAGTCATTCAGCATTGAAGCCCCCAGAGGTCAGAACATCAAAATGACTCTCCAGTTGCTCCATCAACTCGAGAAGAAGAAGCAGGAAGGTGAGGAGGAGGAAGAAGAAGTGATGTGCGATAGAGTCCTGGGCACGATTAAATACCTCAACAAGGATTACATGAACATTTGTAGCAATGGATTTGCTAGGGACAAAGATTCCCTTGTCAAACAGGAATTTGTCTCCAGTTCCGATCTGATTTACGTCAGCTTGGTCCATAAGGCCATCAAAAGCAACATGCTCCTAATAAAAGTTGAAGGTCAGTTATTAAACTTACAACTTTTTAAAGAATTCTTCCAGCTGAAAACATTCGATGAATGAACTGACAGCCGTAGGATGCAGGGACATAATTCAGCCGGAAGACACGTGGATGCAACGCAGTGGAGATGAGATGATCATCGGATGTTTCATGACCAAACAGAAATGGTACCTACGCTGCTTGGACCGCGTCTGGTCTGGCGTCATTGGGAACTGCTCCTCAGGTTTCTTCAACTTCAAATATTAAACAATTTCACTCGCTATACGTTCAACAATCGTTCAGAAACGCAACTGCCTGATGCCGTTTCGTCCGCTAAAGAATTCAGTGAAGATTCTGATATAGAGTCCCAAAGTTAGTAAAATACATCATGAATATTTTTTTCAAAATTTCCAAAACTTACCAAATTAATTTTTTTCTTTGAAGTTCCTGATGAGGGCTTTAATAGGCGAGTCGGGTGAGTATTTTGTTCGTTTGATAATTTGCATGGAGCCAGCTGCCTGAAAAAGTACTCAAACCAGAAAGCTACGACCACTGCTTGCGTCCTCCAACAAACAACAACCTACTTACTCCTCAACCACCCAGCCATGAACAAAAATCTGGTTGGAGGTGACTAAACGACATTCAAACTCAAACAACAACAACAACCGGCCGGTGAAAATAAATTCTTCGTTGCTTAAAATGGATCAAATTAAGAATTATAATTCTTCCCAACATTATACTTCCATAATTCCTAACCACACATTTATCATTCATTGTTCTCATTTTGTAGTATAGGTGTTGGTAAAAAATCGTCAGATCGTAATTAATCGATTATTATCGTGTTTAACCGATTTTAATCGTCGTAACGAACGAACTCATCTGCGTTTGAACTTGAGCATCATTGGACGGTCTGGGGTCAGGACGGTCATAAGAATCGGCTGAACCTCACCTTTTTCGGCGCATTCGACTTTGAAGTTTCTTATAAGCTTTTGGGAAATTTTTTATCAAAATTGTTTAATAATTATTTTTATTTTAATATAATCGACTGATAATAGACTATTAATTCATAATTAATAATAAATAATGACCTTTGACACCATGGTGTATATTTCCATCTCTGCTAGTCGTCTGCCTGTTATTAATCCAGCCACAGACCATAAAGAAATATTCAATGACATTTCAATTTTTCAATATAAAATAACTTTAATTCTGAGAATCATACAAGTGCTTCTGGCTAGTTTCATCAAATTCTAGCACATAAACCGTCCATAGTATGAAATATTCTCAAACAATTCATCGAAACACACAAACTGACCAATGCACATTCTCGGCCCGTGCCCAAACGGAAGATGAGATAATGCAGTGGCCAAGTGGCTAACCTCGTGGGATTTTCTCAACCATCTGTCCGGATTAAACTTCTCAGGGTGGGGGAATAACCTCTCATCCCTACCAATTGTCCATAGGTTGGCTTGGACGTGAGTCTACGTTTTAAAATACTTTTTGTTAAGGTTAGTTAGGCGATTGAAAATTTTTTCACCAAACAATGCTTGAAAGCGTGTGTAAATTTTCAGCTTGTGAATTTCATTTGTTTCACTTTCCCGATATTTTTGGCGAGATTGTATTTCTATTTTACAGAGGTTATGCAGATGTTTGTGAGTTGCGTTTGTTAAATGATAGTTATTTTAGTTTGGTAGTTTCTATAAAATAGATTAAACATTAAAACACCTAGATAAACCGATTGATAATTAAGAAATAGTGAATAAATTTGATACAACATACGCCTTTAGGAATTCTAAATCCTTTTAATTCGATCTCACTTGCCAGTTTTCTGCTGGTAGCAAACGTGATGGGGTAGAATCTGCACATGAAATACGATGTAAAACTTGAACAATGTAACTGCTTAACAAAGTTGCCCGCCAAATTTAACACGGGCTTGTGGCGCAATGGATAACGCGTCTGACTACGGATCAGAAGATTCCAGGTTCGAATCCTGGCAAGCTCGAAGTATTTTTGCCCCGTAACACATATATATATATATATATATATATGTTACGGGGCAAAAATACTTATATATATATATATATTAAATTAAATATACATATATTATATTCATTAACACGTATATATTAACACGTGGTAACATATATATATATATATATATATATATATATATATATATATATATGTTACCACATATATATATATGTATGTTACCATGCGACGGTTCTATTTTGCAACATTCATTAACACGTTTAACCATTTGTTTTATTTGATAAATGCACACTTTTCTACAATTTCAAGATAACTTTTTCATATTTAGCATCACCAAATCGGCCATATATACTTCAAAACCTCAGAGTTTCTTTCAGACAGGCTCTGACATAGTCCATCTTTCGTATAACCTCACGGGTCACTGGCGAATCTTTGTTCGGCAAGTACTGAAGAACCTCTTCAAATAGTTTCTCTTGTACTTCAGGGTTCCTAGCCAGGCAGTACAGCATCCAAGTGAAACTATTTGAGGTCTAGGTGGTGTCAGGTTTTAGGTAATGTATGTGTGTGGTTTTTTTTATCTGGTTTTTGAATAAATCGATGGTGAAACTAGAATTAATTATTGTTTTTTGGATTAATAAATTAAAGAATTGTGAATAAATCTATGATTTCTATGAATTAATTAAATAATTATATATAAAAAATGAATAAATTTTTGGGCCGTACAGTTTCAATGGCCCCGATCATGACGTCGATACTGGTGAGGTTCACGGAGCTGGCACTCATGGATTTCTGGGAGAGGAGAAACGTTAACAGGGCGGAAGACGAAGAAGTCTTTGAGGACAGTGACATCAAAGGATTTACCGCCAACTGCCTTTGCCTCTTTTTGGAGAATAAATTATACTAATTAACTGAGCTAATTAATAAATTACGCAATTAACTGAGCCAACAGATAAGTTATCAAATAATTAAACGAAATTTATAGATAATTATTTGATGAGATAACTCTTCAATTGAATGAAATACTTAAACAATTTCAAGGGCACCTCTTCGATCAGAGTCATCCCGGCTTCCATAATTTTATAACAATGATCCTCAAATCTTTTCCAGTTGCGAGTGCTTATGTACTTGTAGATGGGCGGTCCGTACATGAGTCCTTGCATCTCTCGGAACATTCCGGACAAGTGAGTGATGAACATGTCGGCAAATGGCGGTATCGGTTCGTTCAAACAACCGATTCTTGCCTCGAATAAATACGTACCGACAGCTGTCGATGAATCATTCGATCGAACAATCAACCAGCCAATCAATCAACAAACTAATCAATCAATCAACCAAGAACCAATATAATCTTACTCACCCTCCAAGGCCCATGTGAACAAATTGCGCTCCAAATTTTTAAACAGCCCATCTCTATCCAGTAACTTCTCATCCATCCTTTTCAAAAAATCCATCGTGACGTCATTTATCGGTCCCACGTGATCCAGAATTTCGGAGAGAGCCATAATTTTGGGGCCGAGGATCTGACGCTTTTCCAGCCACTGCAAGCCCTGGCTAGTTGTGGAGACGAATGATAAACGGATGAATGAATGGAAGAATAAGGATGGATAGATAAATTGATAGCTGAATGGATGGATATTAAACGAATGACTGAATAAATACCTAATGAATTGCATGGTAAGATGAATTAACGAACTGAAAATTCATCCATACTCTATACGGCGAGCACCAAAAACAACAGCAACACTTGAAAAGATGACACAGTAATAACGATCCTTCACTAACCTGTTAACGATACCGATATCGAAATTGTTACGTTCTCGGAAATACTTGAACGGTTCCAACTCGATTCTATTCGGCATCTTCCCGTCGGCTCTTATCACTTTCAAGTATTCTTCCATGTCACTCACTATTACACTGGTCAGGTTACCTTATGTATGTGTGAATGTACAGTGATGTGTACAGTACATGTATGTGTGTGTTTGTATACTACCTATAGTTTCCTTGTACACGGAGCCGTACTGCTTCGCCCTCATGTCCATGACCTGTCAGGAAATAGGAAAATTACTACTCTAACAGGAAAATGAGAAAAAACTTAGACAACCAAATCCCAAAAGTAACCAAATCTCAAGAGCAACCAAATCACACCTTAAACATTTTCCGGAACGACAATCCTCCAGGTCTGACATAGGACAACAGAGTCCCGAATAACGGCAATCCCTTTGGCCCCGGAAGACTCTCAAAGGATTTTAGCTCCGCCAGTTTGTTTTCCGTCAGCACGTTAGCGTTACTCACGAGAAGGTCAGTGTTGTCGAAAGCAGCGGCAGACGTTGATACGCAATTTACTTTAAGAATATTATTACCAATCCTGTCATAATTATTAAAATTATGAATTTTATTCCTGGAAATTATTTGTATAATATATTTTCGCATCATTGTCGTTATTGAGGATAACAATGGTTTTCCGTCGTCAAACGAATAATAGGTGTTGGAAAAACGCGGGAACAAATGCTTATATAAGTTTTTCGCGCCAAAAATTATAAATAACCATCATTATCATCATCATTTTTGTTATTATTGTTATTTCTCTACTACTACTACTACAACTATTATCATTACCACTACTGATGCAATTATTATTATTATTAATTACAATGAATAGATTCTAGGAAACAAACAAAATTTAATTAAATCCTTAATCCTTAAAGATAATCTTTGGATCTATAAATATTTATATATATATATAATCTTTGATGCAATTTCCGGTCGGTCAGGGCGGGGCTTAAAATGACCATAATCAATCCATACCCACGTGACCAAATGGACGAACAGAATAGCAATAACAACGAAAACAATAATAGCAACAAAGTAATGACATCATCACCATCATCATCTTCATCATATGTATTATAATTAAAACATAATTATAGTAATAATAATTACCTTTATAATTATTAACAATAATGGAAGCATTATCATTAGTATTCACAATAACTGTAATATCAAATGTGTATATATATATATATATATATATATATATATATATATATATATATATATATATATATATAAACATATATGTATGTAAGACTTGCCAAACATATTGAAAAGTTAACATCATCATTCATATTATCATCATCAAATTCATCATCATCGTCATCAGTAGCAGCAGTATCGTTAATAGTATCATCATCATCATAACCTTCATCATCATCATAACCTTCATCATCATCATCACCACCATCATCATCATCAATGTTTCAATTATTGTTGCCACCATCATCATTACTATCATCATTTTCACCATAAAAATCATCAGAAAGGGATGTAAATCATGCAGGAAAAATTGAGCAAACAGTAAATCGTCACCATCATCACCATCATCGTCATCATCATCACTACCATCACCATCGTCATCCTAATTTCTTCTGCCCTTTTTGTAGAGCACACTTATCGTTTGACAGGTGGTGGCAGTTTAATCGTAAAAAGAGACTTAATGACATCACCAGAGCCAAGACTACCACTATTATCACCCTCATCATCATCATCCTCTTCTCCATTGACGTCATCGTCATTTTTTCTTTTTCCATTTTTGTAGCGCTTAATTAATTGGCTGGACTCCCTGAAGACGTGGCGAATTTTCGCGAACATTGCCTCCTCATGCACGCTACGCGCTGCGTTCTGTAAGCTAAAGGGCTCTGTGGAAAAAAAAAATTAAATTATAATTATTATAAAAACAATAAATAATTTTCATATAAATAATTATAAATTATTAATAATTAAAATGATAATAATTATAGCAATTAAGGTGCAAGGAAGGTGAGGAGAATGATCAAGGATGCCGTTGTTTTAATTATTACTAATAATAATTAATAATAATAATAATATTATATTATAATTAAAATTATTATCATTATCTAAAACATCAACCAAAACGACCTTCAATGGAAATAAACTTCCACTGATTTTCAGGCTTCACCTTTTCCATGACCTCTGCTTTTATCAAGGTCGTCCCCAGCCTCACGGAAATGACGTTACGCTCAAAACTATAATAACAATAATAATAACAATAATAACGGAAATGATGATGATGATAACAAAAATAATGGTAAAAATGATATGGAGTAGTGATGACAAACTTGAATTTATTGCCATAATAATCTAGGAAATCCATAAAAAGCTGCCCAACGCTAATTGTATTATTATCATCATTATCATTATTATTATTATTATTATCATTATTAATATTATTATTATAGACGTTGTTGTTGTTGTTGAATGCCGGCAGTTTGACGTCGAGGTCAATGCGACTTAGTTCGACTCTGAGATTAAAAATACCCTGGTGGGGGTTGAGAAATAATAATAATAATAATAATAATAATAATAATAATAATAATAATAATGATGATGAGACAAAAAAACTAGTAATGAGGTGGAGTTAGGCTAAATTAGTGATTAGGCAATATGGAATTATTAGTAATAAAATTAGTAAAACTCACGGGGTAGAGAGCCTGTAATGAGGGTAGTATCCGTGGTGGGCAGGCTATTAGGAGAGGAAAAAGTCAAAATTATGATCATGATGTAAATATTATTACTTATATTTTCATAATTATTATCAGTAGTAGTAGTAGTAGTAGTAGTAGTAGTAGTAGTAGTAGTAGTAGTAGTAGTAGTAGTAGTAGTAGTAGTAGTAGTGGTAGCAGTAGTAAACCGACATCATCATCATCAAGGCATCATCATCGTCATCACGACATCATCGTCATCACCATCATCATGATATCATCGTCATCATTACCTACTTTGCAGAAAATGGATCACCATTAAGGTTAAGCAATAACTGGACAGGGTTGAATGACATGCATTGTTGATGTCATTGAGCCGGGCCCAGCGTTTCACTGACATAAGTAAAGAAGGCACTCTGGGGTCCACTGAAAAGTTAGTGATTAGTGAAAGAAGACGTCAGTTTACACAGGAATCCGTTAAAAATTATTAGTAATCAAGAAATCAGATACTAATCAGAAGTTAGTTAAAAATGATTAGTTGGGTAAAGTTGGTTGGATAAACATGGTAGAAATTAATTAAGTTAGTTAAATAATTACCAAAGAAGAATCTTGATCAAAGATTATTGAGAACAAAAAAATTAAAAATCTAGATATGAGGTTAGTGATTGGGAAATCAGAAGTTAGACGTCTGTGAAATTACTGATCAGTAGTAGTAAAGTGGAGTAAGATTCGGAAAATTAGTGAAATTAGGCAAGCAAAGGATGTGCGAAAATGCAAAAGAAATATGCAACTGACTTGAGGAATAAGCCCTGAGTAAGTGCGTATTGCGTATTCCAACGGTATTATTAACATTCAGGTCGCATTCTATTTTGCTGGGGTCAACAATAATTTAGAATAATAATAATAATATAAAATAATAATAATATAATTATTAATACTAATAATAAATAATAACTATAAGTTTTAAAATGAAAGTTGGAAGTTTACATCAAATTGTGTAAACTACAGCATGGCCCATATGAATGAATGAATGACCAGCAATGAGTTTGTATCATGGGTTTCATAATTATTCATATAACTATAATTTTTATAATTATTATTATTATTCTAAATTATTAACAAAATTATTTCTTATTATTATCATTATCATTACCTGACGTTGTCTTGAAATTTGACTATGGGCACCTTAGCCCTGATCAGAATAATGTTGTTAGATACTCCTGGAGAGATAAAATTTCAATTATCATTTGTATTTACTCACTCACTCACTCACTCACTCACTCACTCACTCACACTCACTTACTCGCTCGCTCGCTCACTCACTCACTCATCTATTCTTTCATTCATTCCACTGTTTATTTATTCATTCATTCATTCGTTTATTCATTCGTTTGTTCGTTTGTTCAAATAGAATTTTTCTCTATACTGTTAATCAAATTATTCTTCATTTCTTCATTTATTCATTCATTCATTCAATCATTCGTTCGTTCATTCATTCATTCATTCATTTATTCATTCATTCATTCATTCATTCATTCATTCATTCATTCATTCACACAAACATTCGTTCATTCATTTATTCATTCATTCAAACCATCCACAAACTATATCTATGAAGAATTTTTCTGACAGCGAACAACGTGCTAATGATGGTTTGATTGTCTTCAATCTGTTAACGATCATCATCACCATCATCATCATCATCACCATCATCATCACCATCATCATCATCATCTTTGTACTCACTATCACAATCATCATCATAGTAACCACAATCATCATCATCACAACTTATCACTGATAGCAAGAATTTTAAACTGAAAAAAAAGATTTGAACTCCACCAAAATACAGACAAAACTAAAAGTGAAATTGAAAAGAACTAAAAGTGAACTTGGAAAGAACTAAAAGTGAACTTGGAAAAAACTAAAAGTAAACTTAAACCTTCTCGTTGTGCAGAACAAGGCAGAGGTCGAGGTCACTAGAATTAGTACCGGTACCATTTAGGGAGGAGCCGAACATGAAAAGCCTTGAACCGGGGATGACAGTTCGGATGATGTTGTACAACTCCAGTTGTAGACGACGTTTATTGTTGAAAACTAACTCGGACTGTCGATTCTTTGCGTAATAGTCTTGTATCTCATCAGTTAGCTGGGTTATATTTTTTAAATTTACTTTATTCTAATCTATTCAACATCATTTCTATCAATTTATATTTCAATATTATTTCTAATTTTTATATAAAAACTGAAATAGAAAAACAATTAACAGATAAATAACTAATCAATTCAATAATTACAATAATAATAAGAATTACAAAAAATAACTCTAGAAACTACTTTCAAATCCAATGTAGAGAATTCATTTGAATTAATTTCCAAAGATGATGGTGTAGAACCTTTCCTAATATTTAATATACACCTGTCCCCAGATGCACTGACATCTGGTGTGGTTTTTGTCGTTGAGCTATTTTTAGCACTGCTATTTTTAGAATTACTATTATTATTATCAGTACCTATAGAGGTAGCACCATTATCGTTGTTGGTGTTATTATTTCTGTTATTATTATTATTTATAATATTATTATAATCATTATTATTATTATGAAACGTTTTTTGGTTATAATAATTATTATTATTATTATTGAATAATGGCTTGTTATAATTATTGTTATTTTTGCAGAAATAATTTTGAATATTGTTAGCGTTATTTATTATTCTTTGATTCCGATTGTCATCGACAGTTAAACTTCTATGGTTGCCATTACCGTTCTTGAAGTATCTTTGATCGTTGATGATATTATTATTATTATTATTATAAATTATTTGGTTATTATTGATATTATTGTGAATAATATTTTGGTTATAATACAAATTATTTCTTGGGTAAATTTTATTATTATCATCATAAATAATATTATTATTTATTCGATTAACATTAACATTAGGCATTGGCCTAGTAAATTGATCCTGAAATAAACCATTAGCATTATTACTATAATTATTATAGTTATAATTACTATTATAATTATTATAGTTATAATTATTGTTATTTTTATTGATATAGCCATTGGTGGAATGATTTAATGGTATAAAGTTGTCAAAACGGAGACCAATGTGATGAGGAATGAATGGCTGGTTAGTGTTGTAAAGAATTTTATCCCTTTGTTTCTGCCTCTTTGGGTTCGATTCCTCAGTTATATCACTGAATCCCACGCCATCTTTATCGCGGATATTAGCCCCACGTCTGAAAATAAATAAAAATATAAAATATTATTTGATTAATATCATTAGTGCTAGTGGTGATGATTAGTAGTTAGAGTTAGACTACTTATTTTATTATTACAGGCAGACACAAAAAACAGTTTTACTTTTAGTTTTTAGTTTTTTACACTCTAACTTTCACGCTAGTCGGCTAGTTGGAAAAATTTGTGGAGATTTATTAAAAAACACCCTTTGCAAACAATCATTTTCTTTGTCACTAGGGAAGAGCCGACTTCCTAACTCAATTAGGAATTTTTGTGGTATGAAATGAAATGATTCAAAAAAAATTTTTTTAGAGACTCAAAACTCCAACTGATAGAAATTCGTAGTTTCGTTTAAAAATACCTTTGAAAATTATTTTGAAAAATTTTAAATTCTCACTTCATTTCGCAAACTTGAAACTTTATTCCGATAAACCAGATATATTTATATTTTTATAATAGTATAATTATGATCTGTCCGTCAGAGCGGACGATAAAATAGTCGTAAACATGCAAAGAAATGTTAACATTTTAATTCTAAAGGAGTTTTGCAAAGGGCTTCATTTGAATTTTAAAATTGTCGAAAGATGGCAGTGGGTTTTAAAAATTACCAAATTTGTTGATTTGATTCAGCGATTGATTAATTGATTCATTTGTTGACTGACTGGTTAGTTGATAGTACAGTATCAAACAGTATCTTATTGAAAAAGTAGTATTATAAAATGAATAAAGATAGCTTTTTTCAAAAATTTAAAAAATTCTCAATTTGATTTCATTGCGATATCGATGATGATGATCGTGACTGAATAATTAAAACACATCATAAAAACTTTAAAGTAGGATAGGTAAAAGTAAACAGTGGTTATTTAACTGCCTGTTAGTGAATTACCCTGCATAAAGGTTATATTCAATTCCTATCAAATAAAATTGACTAAATATAGGCAAAACTTAATGAAATAGATAGATAGATTTATGTAGTTATAATACATTTAGAATTGCACATTCAAATTGTACAATTGTATTATGGTGTAGCCTCAAATTATTTTGAATTCTCTCAGAAAAATTTAAACTTTTTACTATATACTAATTATTTCTATCAACAATTTAAAAAAAATTCAATTAGATTTCATCGCGATATCGATGATGATAATTGTGACCTTACTGATTAAAAAGCATAAAAAATTTTTTTTAAATAGAATGGAGAATTTGTTACGAAAATCGTTGGAGGAAATGACTCGTGCTAGCGGTATTCTATTTTTAGTGAAATGTATCCCTTCAACTTCCACATCAAAAGAACAAGCTTATTTTCAAAATCTGGAGAACTGATAGGCATAAAAAGATAATGATTGCAAGATAGTTCAATTGGAGGGTGTGTGTGTTTAAATTATTGGATAGAATTACTTGGCTAATAAAACTTGCATATATGTTCTATTCTAATTAATTTTTGAATAAAATATTTTTTAAACTCGCTCGCGTTATTTCTTTGATATCAATATTGGGGATATTCGTATATAAAGCGAGCAAAATTTTAATATAAAAGCGTTTATAAATCTACGCATGTTGGCTCAGCTTGTCTCGGCTCGGAATCGGATGTTAAGCAAGGTGTGGTCTCAAACTATTTTGAATTCTCCCCGAAAAATTTGAACTGCGTGCAGGTATATGTAGCACTGATTAGATAAAAAGCAATATAGCAGATTCAACCAGCCAACCAGAATGTTTCGAAGGCGTTCGTTCGATGACGTCAATTTAGTACGGTTAGCATTGTTGTTAAGACTGTATAATAGTGTACGACATACATTAAATAAGTTTTTTACTGATGTGAATGATTGAAATGATGAGAATGTATGGTTGAAACGAGTATAAATAAGAGCTGAAAAAGCATGAAAATCAGATCAGGCATTCTGCTTCGCTTGAGGCTTGAAGCAGTCTGCCTGATCTCTCTTTTTTTTTATTTATTTTATTATGTAGAGTTATATAGAGTTATATATGCTTGTCTGTGGTTTGTATGTTGTATTTTTTTATTTTAGGTGGGTTCTTTAGCGGTTGCTCATACATACACACATCATGTTTGTTTGTGTGGTAGTATTTTGTGTTCTTTTTTACTCCTTTTTCTCTTTCTTCATGAGCCTTGAGTTAAGTTAATGAAATATAGGTAGGTGAGTTAAAAAATTAATTTATTTTATAGGTAGGCTAGGGCATAAGATAATTTAGTTACATAGGTATGTTAGGGACTTTTTTCTTTTACTCTACTTGGTGGTGTGTATTTTGTTGTCTTTTTTTGTTTTGTTTTATACCATACATATAACAGGTACGCGGTGGTTCCTGGTTTTAGTGGGATTTTTATTGATTGAATTGGGTAGTATGCATGGTTATATAGAGTTATATAGAGTTATATAGAGTTATATAGAGTTATATAGAGTTATATAGAGTTATATAGAGTTATATAGAGTTATATAGAGTTATATAGAGTTATATAGAGTTATATAGAGTTATATAGAGTTATATAGAGTTATATAGAGTTATATAGAGTTATATAGAGTTATATAGAGTTATATAGAGTTATATAGAGTTATATAGAGTTATATAGAGTTATATAGAGTTATATAGAGTTATATAGAGTTATATAGAGTTATATAGAGTTATATAGAGTTATATAGAGTTATATAGAGTTATATAGAGTTATATAGAGTTATATAGAGTTATATAGAGTTATATAGAGTTATATAGAGTTATATAGAGTTATATAGAGTTATATAGAGTTATATAGAGTTA